TATATGGAAGGAACCTATTTCATTCTCATTGTCCCCTTTAATTTCCTTGCAAAAACACCCTTCCCTTTCTCGTGGCCCTCAGCTGAAATGTTTACATGGCTTCTCTCTGATCTCCTGTCATAATTTTATGTCGCTCCAAAGGCTCATGAATGTTACACCTCATCAAAATGAGCTTTGAACTGCAGATAACTCTGAAAGGAGATTTCATTTTAGACAATTAAAATATTTGTGTTCAACTGCTTGAACTTCTTTGTGTATGTGTGTCTAGCTCCATGCAGTTTTATCACATATGTCAGTTCATGTGACCAACACTGCAGGATGCAAGCAGCTCCATCACATGGTCCCTCGTGCTGCCCCTTACAGCCACAGCCACCGCCCTTCCTTACGCAACCTCTAGCCACGCTAATCTGTTCTCCATCTCTAATTTTATTTAAGACAAGTGGAATCATGTGGAATGTGTCCTTTTAGACATTTTAATTTTGACCCAGAACATTTTCCACAAGGCCCATCTGAGTGGTTACATGGGTCAGTGATGTGTTCCCTTTCTTGCTGAGTAATATTCCCTCATGTGGATGGATCATCACTTTGTTTTTAGGATTTGGCCTGTGTTAATAAAGCTGTGGACACTGATGTGCAGGCTTTCACATGTGTTCATTTCCCAAAAGGCTAGGCTGTATGAGCAGCACATGTTTATAAGTCTATTCTTTCTTTTTAAAATTTTATTTCAGACATTTGGACAGACTCGTGTGAAGGTCACATTAGGGTTCTGGCCTGGGTTTTCTTCCTGGCCAATGACGTTGAACATCTTGTCATGAGCTTGTTTGCCCTCCGTAGATCCTTGTTGAAATACTTGCTGCTGTCTTTGGCCCATGTCCTGCTTCCATTCTTAGTCATTGAGCTTTGAGGGTCCCTTGGGTGTCCTGGACACAAGTTCTGCGGCAGGTATGTGGCTCCTTCGGTTTTTTCATCTAACTTCTGCCATGGAAAAACCTTCTCAATTCCTGTATGGGCAGTCACTTACTAATGCCTGTCCTTAAAGGTTCTCTCTCCAGAATTGAGACATGAGGTATAGAACAGACATTTAGGAAGGTCATGAAGAGTACAAACTTGAAGAGTATTGTTATAAGGACAAAGCCAAGAGTCACTGTGGGAGACTGAGCTGCCCAGAGGCCAACGGCCGTGTAAATCAGAGAAAATGCGACCCAAACAAGCACGTTCATACTCAGTTAACAGAAACACCAAAGGAAGCCTTCCCCACGGCTCCCAGGAAACTAGGTAGGCTGTTCTTCCTATAGTGTCTTTTTTCATTTTAAACTTTTGTTTACTTTGATTGTATTTGAAAAGTGGAGAAGCAGAGACAGATGGAGAGAGATCTTCCATTCACAGTTCACTCCCCAAATGCCCGCCACAGCCAAGGCTTGGCAGGACTCACTGGGGTGAGAGGAACCCAATGTCTTGAGCCGGCACCTCCTGCCTCCCATGATGCAATCAGCAGGAAGCTGGATGGGTCCTAGAATAGCCTGGACCCCAACTAGGCACCCCAATACTGATCATGGGATGCAGGCTTCCCGAGGGGCAACCTACCCACCGTGCCAAATGCCCGTCCTATCCGCTTACTGTTACAGACCTTGTCTAATGAATGACAGGTGACAGGAATGAAAGGATTTAGATGGACCTTGCAGCAACGATGCAGAAAACATCATTGTGTTGACCAGGTATAAAAGGTAGTAAGGGGTGAGTTGCTGAAAAGCCCTTTTTATTGTGGTAATGTTTCAGGTAATACAAACCTAGAAATGTCTTTTTTGTTTGCTTTTACTCCATTTTACTTGGCATGTTCCTTTTCTGCGACATGAAAGTGGTTCTTGCTGTAGCTTGCACAACATCGCCATCTGCTGTTGGGAATTGATAAGTACTGCTTCAGGGAATTTGCCAGTCAATTCCTTACCACAGGGCCAGCCAGTGTTGCCAAAGTCTGTCATATTACATGTCATAAATGACAAAACTTGAATGCCAGGAGAGAAAATAAACACATTTATGAGTAATATCCATCCTTCAGCTTTTAGATGTGAAACGCTGTTCTGCTGCACCAGCTTACCCAGACTCTCGCTCAGTTCCAGCGGGTGCCTCTCTCCCTTTGTATGGTGCAGCCAAGGCTGCTGTTAGCTCTGGTTTTTGTCTTCACACAATGCCCAAGAAAGTAGGAGAGAGTAGTTTATTTTGTTCCCAAGTGTGGCTCCAAACAGAAACTTTTTCCCCTCTCTCCCTTTGACTCATGCCAAAGCTACCGACTCAGACATTTGTGCTTTTTGTTGCGAAGTGAAATGATATTATGCCTTGATGTTACCTTAAAAGTAAGAAGTATTTGCTTTTGGTAAAAGGCAAATACAGGAGCAAATCAGTTTCAAAAACAGGGGTGTTACCTTCTTCCCCCCTCGGAACATACACGAGAATATTAGTTCAAGTGACCTTTGTTACACCCTTGTCATGAGCCCCTGTCATAAAGCCGTTTTTCTGTGGAATGGAGAGAAGCATGTGGGATTTATACAGATGACTTACGTAAGAGTTGGATTGGGGACTTTTGTGTAAATTTTCTCAAATAAAGGCTAGCAGAAACCATTCAGTGTGTGTGTTTCAGTTATTCTGAAGTACTTTTGTCTTGGTTGGCAGTCATTCCTACCACATTCCTTGGGTTAAAAGTATGACACACCTGATGAGTTAGAGGAAAAAGCATAGTCCTTTTTCTACTCCAAATGGGTCATTTATGTGAGACAGTGTAAGTTTTTATACGGTAACTGTTTAATTCTGGTATTTGGAAGGCAGAGAGGGATAAGGAAAGATGCATCCACAGCTCTCCAGTCTGCTGCTTCGCTCCCTGAAAGTCCAGCACTATGGCTGGGCCAGGCCAGAGCCAGGGGCCCCAGGCCCCTTCCACGTGGACCCCCGGGCTTGGGCCATCATCTCCAACTTTGTAATTAAAAAAAATAAATCTTTAAAAAATTAAAAAAAAACCTGATCCATGCAGAAGGGATAGTGATGCACTACTTACACAACAAATCTTTTTTTTTTAAGATTTATTTTTATTGCAAAGTCATATATACAGAGTAGAGACAGAGAGGAAGATCTTCCGTCCGATGATTCATTCCTCAAGTGACCACAACGGCCGATGCTGCGCTGATCTGAAGCCAGAAGCCAGGAAATTTTTCTAGGTCTCCCACATGGGTGCACGGTCCCAAAGCTTTGGGTGGCCTTGACTGCTTTCCCAGGCCACAAGCAGGGAGTTGGATGGGAAGCAGTGCCGTTGGGATCCTGGTGCTTTCAAGGCGAGGACTTCAGCTGTTAGTCCACCACGCCATGTCCAACAAATCATTTCTGAGGCTTTACTAAAATAATTTTTTCTTTTGAAAATAAAATATTCATTTTTATTGGAAAGGCAGATTTATGGAGAGAAGAGACAAAGGTCTCCCATCGGACTGATGGTTTGCTCACTAAATGGCTTCTACAGCCAGAGCTGAGCTGATCCAAAGTCAGGTGCAGGAGCTTCTTTTAGGCTTTGGGCTATCCCCCACCACTTTCCCAGGCCACAATCCGGGAGCTGGAATGGAAGTGGCACAGCCAGGACATGAACCGGTGCCCATATGGGATACTGGCACTTGCAGGCAAAAGATAAGCTAATTGAGCCGCCATGCCAGCCTCCTTGTGCCATATTTTAGGTACTGATGCTACAGAGAACAAAAGCGCAAGTGCAGGCTCTCATGGTGGCACTTGGTCTCAGGAGTGGGGCCAGCCCATAGAGCAAACAGGATCAACAAAGTGTTAGCATTTCACAGATAAGCACGACGTGCTGAGATAAGGCTAGAAATTAGTTACACACAGGCAGAATCTGCTCAGCAGGCAGACTAACAGAGATAGTGTGTTCACATCCAAGAGGATGGAGACCCCGTGGGAACTCTCCTATTCAGCGGGGAATGAGCTGCAGATACAGCGGGAGCACGGGTCAGCAGCAGACAGGTGAATTCATTCGCTCTCACGCTTTACCATACTCTACTCAATCTGTCTTCCTACATTTGTTGGCTGTTTCTACCTCTTCTTTCACCTGCCTTAACAACCATGTCCCACCTGGTCACAAAAGTTCTAAATACTTCACAGATGGGTCCATACACCCTCCTTTTCATTTACTTGAAAGGTCTAGAAAGAAAGATAAATCTTGCATCTGCTGGTTCATTCCCTAAGTAACTTGCCAACAGTCCAAATCTAGGAACTCCGAGTTCTACCCAAGTCTCCCTTGAGACTAGCAAGGACCTAACCATTGGGCCATGACCCGCTGCCTCCCAAGGATGTGTTAGCAGCAAGCTGGATCAGGAGTGGAGCTGCTGGGACCTGAACCCAAATTCAGAGCTGGAGTGGGGTTTTCCCCACAAAGCCCACCCCTCAGGTGCTTTTCTTAAGTCCAGACTCTTCTCGGGGCATAAATGGCTACAACCTTAGTCTTTTGACCTCCTGTCACCAGAGGTTTTGTTAACATACAGTAAAATCCCCACATTTTTGGCATCTGAGCTGTCACCTGAGCCAGAGGTCTGCTCCTTGGGCGTCGAAGAAGGCGGCATCATCTAGAACATTCCATAAAACCAGAACATAACAGCCACTGCTCACATGGTCCCCTGAGCTTGCACCGTCTTGACAGTAGTTACTGCAACATCCCGAATCCTTTCCAAGACTTGAGGCATTGCCTCGCCGGAAAACGGCACTGACGCCGAGATGAGGTTAAGTGGCTTCTCTGAGCTGTGAGAGGGGACCTGGGGGTCCACGGACACGGGATGATACCCCTGCGTTCCCACGAGGAACACCCCAAAGCCCGGAGCTGCCCTCCTCCTCCGCGGGAAGCCTCGGCCGCTGGCCTTTAAAAAAAAAAGTGAACCGACGAAGGCGGAGAAAGCCCGTCCGGCGCGCCGGAAACCCCAAGAACTGCTTCCGGGCAAAGGAGCGGGGCCGAAGCCACCATGGACCCTGGCGCGGTTGAGAGGTTGACGGAGCCGCGGCCCGGCGTCTGAGGCGAGCGCGGCCACACACAGTGCTGCTGGGGGACACGCAGGCTGCTGCCGCCGCCGCCATGTCGGTGCTGGGCGAGTACGAGCGACACTGCGACTCCCTCAACTCGGACTTCGGGAGCGAGTCCGGGGGTGGCGGGGACTCGAGCGCGGGGCCCAGCGCCAGCGCGGGACCGCGGGGCGGCGGCGGCCCGGCCGAGCAGGAGGAGCTGCACTACATCCCCATCCGCGTCCTGGGCCGCGGCGCCTTCGGCGAGGCCACGCTGTACCGCCGCACCGAGGTAGCGGCTGGGCCCCGGCTTCACCTTCCCCCGGCGCCCGCGCGCTCGCACCTGCTGTCGGGATCCCCTGGACCACTGGGAAGCACGGACCCAGTCGCTAAATCGTCCTTGAGCTTTTCCCCCATCTGTGAAATGGGCCGAATCATATAGCTCCCTTAAAAATGCTGCTTTAAAAAAAAATTGAGAGTCCAATGAAGGTGCTTTACAAAAATGCAAAGTGGTTCTCCGATTGTGAGGTTTTGCAAAAACTTCCTCCGTATGCTAAGCTGTTAGTCTTGACTTTTGCGGGAGACAAGGACTGTTGAGAACCTATGTTCTGTCTTTTCCCTCTTCCCCGTCTGCGTTTTCACAGATGCACATTCCATGTAGAAATTCCAGAGGTCACAAGCTAAGAACCCTGCAGTAGTGACTTGGCTTCCAAAATCTTTTAGTTTTGTGTGTTTAATTTAGGTGAAATTCGGCTGACTGGGTTCAGTTTTGCCAAGTATGAAAAGTTTAGCTTCAGGATAAACATTTGCGAAGCCTTGCTGGGATTGCTGAAGGTGATTCATCCATCAGCACTTCTGGTCTGTGTGTCGCGCGCCAGCTGACAGGTGGAGGTGTGGGGTGGCTGGGACGGGCTATCCTAAGTGTGTTGTTGGGTCGTTCTTTTGTTTGGAGGTTTGGGGTGTTGAAAGAGACAAAGAGGAAATTCTCCTTCCTCCCAAATGCCTGTTATTGCGGGGGGCTAGGGAGGGGCAGAAGCAGGGACCTGGAACTCAGGGAGTGGCAAGGACCCGGTCTGTTGAGCCGTCATTGCTGCCTCCTGGGGTTTGCATCTGCAGGAGGGAGCCAGCCAGGGGCAGAGGTTGCACCTGGGCGTTGTTAGAGGGGATAGACACTTCTTATCTGCTAGGCCATTACATTCATGAATGACGTTGGCATAGCTGTTTATTTAGTAATTGCTTTTTCTTTTTGGCATTGAAATAAGAAAGAGGAGTATTGGTATTCCTGTTTTCTTCGTTGGAAAAACTATTTTTAAGTGACTTGCCCACTTCGGTGAGAAGTGACTCTCCTACTAGAACTAGGTTCTCCTCTATGCTGTTGAACTTGATGAAGTTTGTGCCGAGTTGTATTTGTTTATGCTTCAAATTGCATAGTGTTATGCCTACCCCTGATAGTTTAAGGTTAAAAAAAAACCGCATTCTTAGCATTCTATTCCTTCTAGGTGTTTGTACAAAGCTTCTTCAAAAAGTTTATGAAAAATGGAATTTAAAAGTTATGTTGATACTCAAAACATTTTTGTCAGGTTTCTTTTGTGTACCTGTGTGAAAGGGCGACAGAGAAGGAGAGAGCTCTTGCGTGTGTTCATTCTGTTGCCAGGTGGCTGCCGCAGTCAGGGCTGGGGTACCAGAACGGACCTCCTGCGCTCCCACAAGGGCTTGGAGTACCATCCGCTGCCTTCCCAGGAAGCTGGATCCAAATCAGGGTAGCTGGAACTCCAGCACGTCCTCAGATGTGTGATCCTGTTGTTTCAGCTATGGCTTCACCTGCTAGATCACGGTGCCAGGCCCTAAAGCTAGTTCTTAATAATATATATTTGCATTAACTTTTTGAAGATACTTTATATACATGGATTTCAATTTCTTCTGGTAACAAAATAAATTTACCTTTCAATTCCATTTTCCGTAAACTTCTTTTTTAACGATTTATTTATTTCTATTGGAAAATCAGATATACAGAGAGGAAGATCTTCCGTCCGCTAGTTCATGCCCTAAATGGTCACAGTGGCTAGAGCTGAGCTGTTCCAAAGCCAGGAGCCCGGAGCCTCCTCCGGGTTTCCCACGTGGGTGCAGGGTCCCAAGCCTTTGGACCATCCTCAGCCATTTTCCCAGTCCACAAGCAGGGAGCTGGATGGGGAATGAGGCCACCAGGATGTGAACCTGGAGTGTACAAGGCAAGGACTTTAGCTGAAGGCTACCACGCTGGGACCTTCCATAAACTTTTGATTTTGGTTACCTGCATGTATTTCCCTCCAAAAGTTAACTATGTTAGTAAACAACATTTAAGTTACATATATTTGTAAATGAAGAAGAATGGGCAAATAACTTTTTGGTGCATGCAGAGTGAAATTAAGGATCTGGATCAGTGAACAGTATGTAGTTCACCAGTGTCCTCCCTGGAGTGGTAAAGGCTTGGTGGAGGCATGGGAAGGAGTGGGGAGAGATCTGTGGGCTCCTGGGCTGAGAAGCAGTGTCATCAAGGACGGGCCCTAGAGGAGGGCAGAGGTGGAGAGCTGCAGGTGAGTTTACATGAATGGAGGAAAGGAGGATACTTTATACTCATGTGACGGAAAGTTGCAAACTGGTGTGATAGAGTTTTATGAGGTTAGCAGCTCTGGTCAGCTAAAGGTGAAGCTGTGACTGCTGTCTATTTCTCTGCTTCTCCAGGATTCTGGCCCTACCACAGTGCTCACCCTGACCAGCCACCTGTCACAGTGTCCCTCAGTAGAGTTTGTGCCACCTATACCCATCCCATATCTTGCCTGGAGCTGACATCAGGAAGCAAAATGATCATTTTTAAAGATTTATTTATTTGAAAGAGTTATAGAGAAGGAAGAGAGAGATCTTCTGTCTGCTGGTTCATTCCTACAATGGACACAGTGGCAGGACTGTGCCAGGACAAAGCCAGGACTTAGAGCTGCTTCTGAATCTTCCACATAGGTGCAGGGTCCCATACATTTGGACTGTCTTCTGCTTTCCCAGACACATTAGCAGGGAACTGAATTGGAAGTGGAGCAGCTGGAACTGGAGCCAGCACCCATATGGAAGCCAACACTGCAGGCAGTAGTTCTACTTGCTACACCAACACCATAACACATGGTGTATGCACACAGCACCAGCCCCAATGACAGCATCTTAATGCTTTCCCTTCCCTGGGCCTGCAATAAGTTACAATACTTACTTGCATCTTTCAAGTCTGTTTTGAGGGAAAAAAAAAATAAAAGGAGTCCATGTTTGCGCTTTTCAGAAGTTTTCCTTGTGGGCCTGGCGATCGCGGTGTGGATTTGCCCACTGCCTTTGTTCCTGTCTTGCAGGATGACTCACTGGTTGTGTGGAAGGAAGTCGATTTGACACGACTGTCTGAAAAGGAGCGTCGTGACGCCCTGAATGAGATTGTCATCCTGGCCCTGCTGCAGCACGACAACATCATTGCCTACTACAATCACTTCATGGACAATACCACCCTGCTGATCGAGCTGGAGTACTGCAACGGTAAGGCAGCAGACTGCAGCGGGACTTCCTCCGCAGGGCGTCCCGAGGCTCGTCCTTAGCCCGAAGGGAAAGGCACGCACAATGATTTCAGCCTTCCTGGGGATTTCAAGAGTTTAAAGAGAAAACCCAGGCATGGGGGAGTTTGGAAGTGACACATGAAACAAGGCGAGGGGTGTTTCCCTTCCGCACCTACCTTGACCTTTGTGGTTATAGCGTCATCTTCAACTTGTTTTTCCTGTGGGATGTTCCATCTATTTTTCAGGATATTTTTCCTTGTGAAAGTGACATTAGTTAGCCATGAGAGACATCGTGTGGCTTGGCACCACATGATATACTATTTACTGAATTGTTATGGTGACATTTATTTGTAGTAACCAGCTAAGACTATCCAAGAAGTAGTCTAAAGATTATAACAGAATGAAAGTAAAACAGCCTAATTTATCTGGTCTCTGATTCCTTTGGGTATCAAGGTAGCCTATTTAAGAAAATAGATTAAACGCATATCCCAACTTCAACTACTTTCTAGTGCTATACTCTTGGGTAGAAAGCATCTGTATACTTCATCCTAAAATGAGTTTATTTTATAACACTGCCTGCCTTCTTGGGCTGTTGTGGTAAAATGGGTATGTGAAGCTCATAGCCTAATACTAAGTTTGCAGCAGGTGTTCAGTATGCCATTGTTATACAGGAGAACACAGAGCTATGTGCTCAACAAGACCCAGCATACTCTCCACTTAGAGCTAGCTAACTTACCCAGACTCTTGGGTATTGTAATTGATTCAAGTCCTGATGAACCCCCACATTCGTAAATTATATGAGAAAATTTTGAAGTAGCAGAAAACTTACACAGTTAAATTCCATTTGGAAGGAACTAGAACAAAGGATACATTTATTAGAACTCTTGGGTTTCTAAATTGCAGGGGAAGAGAAGTTGTAAAAACTAAGCCAGTCGCAAGTAGGAGGTAAGATGAACCACCATCATTTACAACTTGTGTTACTTGATAAAAAGAAGTAAATTAACACTCCACAGGAAAGATTAGCAAAGTTAGAGATGTTGTGGTGCAGGAGAGAACCTGTATTGTTATTGTTAGAAGCACAAGCTCTTTGAGGAAGAGGTAATTCATATTCCGGAGGCAGGAAGCTGGCATCGTGCTGGAATGCATTCTGTTTCTGTATCTGTATTTACTCTTCCCACAATGAAGAGTGTTTTTTTCCTTTTGTTCAGACTCCTTGCAGGCTCTGATGGGGATTCATGAGAGAGGAAACCTCTAACAGGGAAGCTGTCTATAGCCGCTTCCTAAACGTGTTACCTCCACATCATGATTCTCTGTGGGCTTGCTTACCTGGCTCTGTTTCTGCATACTGGTATGCCCAGGACTTTCCCTTCTCATGTAGGGATAATCTAGGGGTGGAGCCCAGATTTTGAGAAAACGTCACTGTACAGTAAGAAAAAAAACGTTATTCACTAAGTTCACAACATTGAATCACAGGTGTCACTCAAATGCTATCAGAGTCATAGTGCGAAAGTCATTACAGAAACAGCAGATTCCTTCAAAGAGTTCTGGCAAAGGAAATCGTCTGATTTTGAGGATCCCTTTGTTAGTTGGGATACTGCAGGAGTAGTCCCCATGTGAAAGGCCAAGGGAGAGCAGTTTTCTTGGGAGAGGAAGCAGACCCGTCCCTTCCTGTGTCACCTGTTCAAACTCCATGCAAGGGGCAGCCATGCTTTCACCTGTTACCAGCACTTCAAGCTTGTCTCTCATTTCTTTGCAGGAGGGAACCTATATGACAAAATCCTGCGTCAGAAGGACAAGCTCTTTGAGGAAGAGGTAATTCATATTCCGGAGGCAGGAAGCTGGCATCGTGCTGGAATGCATTCTGTTTCTGTATCTGTATTTACTCTTCCCACAATGAAGAGTGTTTTTTTCCTTTTGTTCAGACTCCTTGCAGGCTCTGATGGGGATTCATGAGAGAGGAAACCTCTAACAGGGAAGCTGTCTATAGCCGCTTCCTAAACGTGTTACCTCCACATCATGATTCTCTGTGGGCTTGCTTACCTGGTTCTGTTTCTGCATACTGGTATGCCCAGTTTTCTATACCTTTGCATTCCTCCTGGGTTTCTTCCCACACATCCATTTCACCATACTATATTTTGTAATGATCTTGAAACTATTTTATAATGACCTACTATATTTTTTTTACCCTTACCACTTTTCTTTGCATACTCAACCTACAAGCAAGGGATGTCCAGTCATGTTGAATCGTAACCTCTAGTTGAGGTGTCCTTTGGTGTGTGTGTGTGTGTGGTATCTACAGGGAACTTTCTAATTCAAATGTAATGTATTTGTCTCTGCAGATGGTAGTATGGTACCTCTTCCAGATTGTTTCAGCAGTGAGCTGTATCCATAAAGCTGGAATCCTTCATAGGTAACAAATGAAAACATGTAACAGATTCCCTGCCTCCAATTCTATCTCCTAGGTTCCTCCCCATCAGTACATGTGTTTTTTTGATTAAGCGGTCAAGGTTTTCCCATTGATATGCTTAGGCAGGCAGAGAGTGAGTTGAAACGGATATTACCTTCCCTTACTGAGGTTAAACTATATTTGATCTAGGATGCGTCTCTCCTCAGTTGCCAAGTGCTGCTTCTTTTAGCCTAGAAGGTGCTGTGAGTAGTATTAGTTTGATTGGAATTCATAGAAAATGTTTTTCTCTGAACAATAAGCATTAGCAATTGTTTTTAATTCTACAGTTGAGCTCTTTTGATTTAAAAGAAAGTCTAATCATTTTGTACAGTTGTATTGTTTCACCAACTCTTTAAAGGAAGAGACAAAACAGGTTGCCATTCATCTCTAGCTATAGAAGAGAACCATTGTAAGTTACCCGTTATTGCCGCCCCTTGCCCTTTATTTAATGAGAAAAAGCAAGACCCCATCTGATAGTTTACTCTCCAAATGACTGCAGTGGCCACAGGAGCCCAAATTGGGAGTCAAAATACAATCTGGGTTTCTCATATGGCTGGCAGGATCCCAACCACTGAAGCCATCACCTCCACTTCCTAGAGTTTATCCTGGGAATTGAAAATTGGAATTGGGAGCTAAAGCTGGGTACCATCAAATCCAGCTACTCCACTGAGGGACTCTAGCAGTCCTGATGGCTTAACCATTAGGCCAAATACTCCATTATACCCTTCTTAAAGGGATGAATTATAATACACAAGGGTTGTTGTTGTTGTTGTTTGTTTCTGTTAGCTCTTGATACCTATTGAGTAGCTACTGTTATGTGTTGTTGGCTTTCTATTTAAAAGTAGTTGAGTGTGATTCATATCTTTCAATAAGGAAGCCAGAGTATGAAGCAAGCAAACTGTGGTGTTTTGCATGGCATCAGTTCGTCTGTAGAAAAAGACTGACTGTATTTAAATGTTCTGAACAGCCTAGTCATGTTGTGGCTGAGACACACACGCAGCCTCTTCCACCTCAACAAATCATTTGAAACTGATAACCGAATGTTCAATTGCCTTGATACCACTCACTCCAAGGCCTTCCCAGCAGTTGGAAAGGCAGTACACTTTATAGAAATTGTGGTCATAGAGCACTGTTCCCTGTCAGCTTTCCTGTCAGCCTCAATGGTTTGGGAGACAGTTGTCATACTAGGGACCTCTGGAAAATGAAATTCATTCTCCCCTTTGACTCTTAAGTCCCCACTTGAAAGCTGTGTGAGCGTTAAGAACCCATAACACCCTGAGCAGTGGTCACTCACCTCATCTGTGCCCTGGACCAATCGCGGGGTCAGGGGTTGAGAGGAAACACTTGTCTACATGAGCTTCATTGGCAGCATCTTTGTTCTTTCAGAGATATAAAGACGTTAAATATTTTTCTGACCAAGGCAAACCTGATCAAACTTGGAGACTATGGCCTAGCAAAGAAACTCAATTCTGAGTATTCCATGGCTGAGACGGTACGTGTTGCCCTTGTAATTTTTTCGTTTTTGCCTTTCTGGCACCTTTCTAGTACCCCTTACATTTCACATGTTCTTCCCAATATTCCTGCTGGATCCACCTTTATAATCCAAGTCTACAGGAGGCTCCTTGTGCTCATCAACAGGGTCCAGTATTTCAAGATCACTGTCCACAATACAGCTTGGACCCCACAGCTGTTTCTGACATTTGGCTGGAGACTTCTCTAGAAGCCGACAGATGCTTGAGTGTTTTTTCCAGTTTAGGATCACGCATAACTCGTAGTTAATGTTTGTGCTCAAGGTGTTGGACATGTCTTTGTGTGGCTTTTGAATGCTGCCTCTGGTTCAGAGAGAAGTCCTGTGTCAGGCCAATACCCGGAGAGCTCAGTTCTTTACCTTGCGCAGTCTGACACTGGGACTCCCTTCTTTCCTCATTTACCATTGGTAGAGACTGGATGTGTGTATCTTGAGGATCATGACCTTATCCTTTTCGGAATTATGGATTTCTCATGCTCTATCCTTAAGAAAACTTGAAAATGTCAGATACTAAAATTAATTTTGTCCTAATGATGTTTTTGGATAATTTCAAGTTATGTCTGCAAGCAAAGTAGACATCTGGGGTTGGGAATCTCTGCCTCAGGGACTTGGTTGTTGGTATGATGGTGGCTGAATTGAGCTTCCAAGGAAGTAGTCATGTCTTTATTTTCATGTTTCTTATTGAGAACAATCTGATAAAACCAAGACTTGACCTATTTTGTTTTATTTTATTTACAAGTTAATGCAAAGAAGGAATGATACAAAAATTTGAAAATGCCATTAAGCCACTTGAAATTAGTTTTATCCATTAAGGAGAGATATCAACTTTATTAGAATGATTGGTGTTTCATTATCTCTACTTTGGGGAAAGGCATAACTTTAAAAAAAAATTTCTTTTTCAAGATTTATTTACTTAAAAGGCTGAGTGACAGAGATCTTCCATCCACTGGACACTCTCCAAATGGTCACAGCAGCAAGGGATGGGCCAGGCCAAAGCCTAAAATTTCATCTGGGTCTGCCAGTGGGTGGCAGGGTCCCAAGTACTTGAGCCAAATTCCACTGATATTTGCAAGCACATTAGCAGGGACCTGGATTAGAAATGGAGCAACCAGGACTTAAACTGCCACTCATATGGGATGCTAGTATTCCAGGTAGCAGCTTAACTTACTGTGCCACAGCTCTAGCCCTGAGAGGCATGATTTCTGTTCAGGACATTTTCATTTCCTAATCTGTTCCTAATCAAAAGAAATTCCCTGGTTGTATTATGACAAATGCCGCATCGAGGTATTGTAAAAGTTTCACTTCTGAGCACTTCAGTGGGAATCCTTAAGCCCTGCTTTGAGTTACCATCTCCCTGCCATCAATGTTAGGTTTTTGTTCTTGGTGATGAGCTTTTGCTAAGTATGTCTGTGTAAAGTCTCTCTCAGGCTATGAGTGCCTAGTGCTTCTGTGGCCTGGGAATCGCAAGCTTGAGGCTTCCCCGGGAGCCCAGTGCCTTTACCACACGGATCGTCCCTTTATAATTTACACCAGAGATTTCTTATGAAACAAGTAACATTTTTCCCCCATGATGTCATCATCTCATAAAAACCACTGGGGGATCTGCCGATGAATGTTGCATGGTTGTTAGAACTAGTTTCTGGGAAATTTAATTTAGTGACTGAAGTATTCTATAGTTACTTCAGAATGGTAAGTTATTCTTTATTTTCTTTGTTGTTTGTTCAGCTTGTGGGAACCCCGTATTACATGTCTCCCGAGCTCTGCCAAGGAGTCAAATACAATTTCAAGTCTGATATCTGGGCAGTAGGCTGTGTCATTTTTGAACTGCTCACACTGAAGAGAACATTTGATGCTACAGTAAGTTGTGTGCTTTCCTAACATTACTTTTGCAAACAGTACAGCTTAGTTAAGTGTGCCTACTTCATTTATCCCTGAACTGCTCATTTGTTGAGCAAACATTAACTTTTGGCAGAAATACCCTGTTTTCAGGCACTGGGTTAATAATGTATTGTTAAAATCGTGCAAATTTATCTCCAAATTGAATTTTGCACTGAAATGATCATAACCAAGTAGTTCCAGCAATGTCCGTTCTTCCTTTCTTTTTCCTTCTTTCCTCGTTCCTTCCTTTCTTTCCTCCTATTGTTACACTTCTGCATCATGTCTTGAAAACTAAGGCAAATTATATAATACCCTTTAAAGTGTTTTTGACTTTTTTAAATCAAAATTTATACTCTCTAATGCATATTGAAAACATCATTGTTTTATGGACAATAATCCTCTTAAGTCTTTTTTTCCTTTTCCAGTAAAGCTGGTGTAAAACGGTGCCTCTTGTTCTTTAATATGCACACAGAATCACCAAAGTATCTTGTTAAAAGGCAGGCTCTGTTCAGCAGAATGTGTTGTGTTTCTGTCCAGCTTCCAATGGCGCTCTTGTCATGAGCTCCTGGACCATACTTAAGTAACTGTTATATCCAGTCCCTTCTTCCAGCCAGGTGTGAGCCTGCAGACAAATTATCTCATTTCTTTGATCTCCTATTTCATTTTCTTTCCTTTTAAGACTTACTTATTTGTATTGGAAAGGCAGATTTACAGAGAGAAGGAGAGACAGAAAGATCTTACATCCACTGGTTCACTCCTCAAATGGCTGCAATGGCTGGAGCTGAGCTGATCTGAAGCCAGGAATCAGGACTTTCTTCCAGGCCTCCCATGCAGGTGCAGGATCCCAAGGACTTGAGCCATCCTTTACTGCTTTTCCAGATTACAATCAGGGAGCTGGATGGGAAATAAAGCAGCCAGAACATGAGCCAGTGCCCGAAGGGATGCTGGTGCTCAGAGGTGGAGGATTAGCCAAGTGAGCCAATATGCCAATCCCTGTTTTGTAGAATATGAGAACAGTATGCTGTTTATTCTCCCCCTCACCACAAACATACACACACAGATCTTCTGCTAAGGTGCGTGAGACATGCAACTGTACATTTATGGAATTTCAGTGACATTTTATCAGGTCTAATCCTTTTTCTAAATCCTGAATTTGTTCTGATGTATCATCTAGTTATTGTAATTAATAGAGTGGAAGAAAATTGACTTCCCAAATCAGACTTGGATTGGAGTTACAGCTCTATTTTTATCCTCTGGTTTCAGGCAAATTACTTTATGTTTTTGAGCCCTAATTTTCTAGGACACAAATTGATAACGATATTGTCTCTGCCTGTCTTTTGTGAGGCTCGCAATGATCACATATGTAATATGCCTGTGTTGGTCCATTGTGGTCTTGCTAAGTAAGGTGTGGATGATAACATCATCATCATTATTATTATCATTATCATTATTATTATTATGTGAAATAACAAAATTTATTAGAAGAAATAGACTGAAAGGCCAGGAGGGAACTGATTGTTCAGTCTACATTGAAACTGAGTAATGGTGTTATTGTAATAGTGTAATTATCATGATCATCTTCAACTTATTTAGTGCCTTGTCTGTAGCAGCAAGATTGTTGCCTCCATAGCCTTTAGGATGTAGAAATTAGGAAACAAGATTAGTTGACAAGAGAGCTACCTAAAAGCTAAGAAGCAGGGTTAATCTTGATTTCCTTTGTTGGGGAATTCACTGAAGGACCAGATTGTCATATGCTCTGAGCTTGATTCTATTGGCCAGGTAGTCCTTGTTTTAATCTCCATGGTGACCAGTTGGCTTCATTCCATCTGGCAGCAGCAGTGCATCCCTAACTTACTTGGCTGTTATTTGGCAATAGTTAGAAAAAGTAGTCAGATTGAAGGCAGGACTGTTGGCTGTTCTTTAAATAATGGTCACAGACATCTCACAGCCCCTACTGGTAGATTTTTAACATCATCTTTATATAACCAGGAACAATGCAGTCATCATTTTCTCATAGAATCCACTCAACTTATGTGTGAAGATTGTACAAGGAATCCGAGCAATGGAAGTTGATTCTAGCCAGTACTCCTTGGAATTGATCCAGATGGTTCATGCATGCCTTGACCAGGTAAGCATGATTCCCGTGTGGATTCAGTCATGTGTTTTCCCTTCCAGCCTGAGTGTTTAGGGTATGACACAAAATCACATCCACCTCTGCTAACATGGAAGATATTTATGGCTATCCCCAGAATAGGTATTAGCAGTTCACAATAGTTTTGTTTCCACAGATGAACTCTTTCTATATTTTGCTCTGTGTGTATTAATTTGTGAAATGATTTTGCCAGTTAAATTGTACTCCATGTTGTATGATCAAGATTAATTTCTGTGGGTTTATCAAATTGCAAAGATCATATAGAATTTCAAATGTATAGAATGTGTGTAGTCCTGATCTCTCACAGTGCCCTTGCTGTGTAGTTCTAGTATTTTCCAAAGTATGGTGCCTGAACTTCTGGCATCAGAATCACCAAAGTAGGGGAATTTTATAAGTAAAATGCAGATTCCTGGGCCTCACTCCAGACCAGCTGAACCGGAGTCTCTGTGAGTACAGCCTAGAAGCCATGATTTGTAACTGGCACTCAGGTGATTCTCCTGTGCTGTGTACATGGACATTGGAAAGTCACTGCTCTAACTAGACATGTGGGAAAGGGGCCTTGTAAATGTCCTCATTCAGGTACAAGTGCATGAAACACGGAATGTGATGTAAGAAGTTTGACTTTGGGATTGCAGTGATCTAATTAACCTGCAACATTCTAAAATGAAGTGAATGGCTCTGTAGATCCCGCATTGCCCATTTCCTTTAAGTGACCTGGGACCCTGTGTTTCTTTCTCAGGATCCCGAGCAGAGACCCACTGCAGATGAGTTGCTCGACCACCCCCTCCTCAGGAAACGCCGGAGGTGAAGTATAGAGAAGTCACTGCCTCGTTCTTCCTGAGAGTGCCCAGAAAAAGGGTGCCACATCCCAACTAGACTGCCCTCAGCTTGGCTCTCGCTGCTTGAGGGCAGCTCCTGATAGTCAGTGCCTTGGCTACCTGACCTTGTTACACATTGGTGGTGATGAGGCCCGAGAGCCCTGCTCCCCTGGTAGCTCTGCTGGTTACAAGGGGTGGCTCTGGAGTCAGACATCCTGTAGGTTGTGTTGGCCTCTGTCATTATTTTGGCCCAGTTATTTAGCATCTCTTTTCTTTGTTTTCTCCTCTGTAAAGAGAGCTAGTCCCATAGCCAGGGCCTGCAGAAGGTACTTGGCAGTTGCTAGGTAGTGGTGTGGATTTGGACTGGGCCCTGGCTTTTAGCACATGAGCTTACTTATGTGTTGCAGTTGGAGCAGTCCTCTTCACCCCTTGCTTGAGCTTGAAGCCTGTTGCCTCTGGCAGCTTTGTTGCTGAGATTCTAGGTCCCAGCTCCCTGGAGGCCAGCAGGATGTGCTTTGCCTTCACTTCCTCTAAGAGGCTTCAAACCTCAGCTTAAAGGAAAACATTATCTTCAGTTTTTTAGTCTACATTTTATCCTTTTATGTTATTTTTGCCTTACTACCCCCTTCTTTTTCTTGTACCGGTTTTGTGCTTTTAGATCCTCCAAATATTTATTTATAATCTTTCCAAGTTTTGTGCTTAGATATATTACATGCATCCCTCGTTGCATAATCCCTGCTCCTTGCTCAGTATCAGTTTTTTGCTGTCATATCATTTGATTATTCCTTTCTAGTTCCGTATTCTGTCACTAGCCAGGGTTTTGGATCCTAACATTACACATAATATTTCAGATGTAACACTGTGACCTTTCATTTATGATTTGTTCTGAGCTTATCCAAGTAATATCAGCCTTTGAGACTAAGACATGTTTGTTGTTTTGTAACATTTTTGTCTGGCATATTTTCCAACAATATGATCACTGATTTAATTTCTCATGGAAATATTTTGATTGGTAATTATTGATGCTTTGTTGATACTCTATATTTTGATGAAAAACATGAGTTTCCCAAAGGGGAAAAAATTAGTAAATGTAGAACCACAACGTTCAGGAAACACTAAGTTTTATTTGACTGTTATAAAAGTTCTAGACCTGGAGTTCTCAGTGCAATGTCATAGAAGCTTCTTAAAAACATTTGTGCCTACATGCTATCCCAGTAGTTTAGCTGTCATCAATTTAAGTAGAATGACAACCATGGGCCACAAGATGGGATATAAAGAAAGGGAAGTCTAAAATGATGGGAAAGGAGCCTTGCATTCCAAAGAGTATGTGCTTAATTCAAGAGGTGGCACACAAGTATTGGATGTTTGTGAGAGGGCGGCCCTAAGCTGCGTGGTAGGCCTGCCTGGGGAAGAAGCAGTGTCAGTGATGCACTGGCAGAGAGAGGACGTGATGAGGGGTTAGGCTGCAGTGAGACTGGTCAGGTGCTGCTGCCACAGAAGAGGTCAGAAGTGAGGGTGTTTCAAAGAATTCATGGAGAAATGGAATTAGAGGCAACTGAAAAAATATCTGAAATCCATATACAGTTTTCTCATAAAGCAACACTTTCCTGCAAACTTGTTTTTGAAGTTCCCTCATAAAGACACCTAGAACCAAGGTGGGTATTACCAGTACTTGACAGGAAGAACCTGTTCAATTTGAATATTGAAGAAAGGGAGCAAGGTAAGTCAGGGATGACTGAAATTGTAAGTCCCTTTATTAGGAGCATAACGAGAGAATAATGGCAGTGACAGGAATAAGAGAGTCAGAAAGAAAAGGGTTATGAAGGCGTCCACAAGGTACTTAAGCATGAACATCAGAGGTTCTCAAGACTCCCTGTTCCAGCCTTGATCTTAGAGACAAAGAACAATTGGCCCCAACCTGCTAGCCCTCTTGCATGAAAAGAATTGTCTAATGCCAGCCATGTATAGCTGAGTAGTATCAAGGTACTTTTGTGAAAGTAATGTTAGGTTGTAGGGTGCAGTCAAGAAGGTTAAACCTGTGAAGTAAACTCGAGGCACTATTGCGGTGTAAGGGCCCATCCTTTTGCTTATGTACCTTTTCTTTTGGCAGAGAGATGGAGGAGAAAGTTACTCTGCTGAATGCGCCTACAAAGAGACCAAGGTAATGCTCGAGAGACTCGTGAGAATTGATACTGTGTGTCCTAAATTACCATCAGGGCAGGCTTCCTTAGATCTGGGCGTGATCTTATCCCAGTCGCCTTGGCATGCTTGCAAGAACCCAAGTTTGCTTCCATGCCAGCAAATCATTTCTGAGCAGAGGAAAACTATAATTTGACTCTCAAGTGGACCTCATTACCATGGTGAATGTTGAAAAGGATAGGTGTTAGTCTGGCAGAGCTGTAAGGAAGCCCTGAGGGAGGACTTGAAAAGCCTGCAATGATAGAGGGTTGAAAGAAGTTGTCGAGAAAGAGCATACTTTCTCATACCGTAATTGGCAGTTCTTCTCAGGGAAGCAGGCTGGAAGCATTTTTCTTCTATATTGTTTTTATGTTAAATGTGCCTTTCTTTGTTGTGGGGTTGTTGGCAGGTCAAGCACTGTGACTGAAGCACCCATCGCGGTGGTAACATCTCGAACCAGTGAAGTCTACGTCTGGGGGGGTGGGAAATCCACCCCCCAGAAGCTGGATGTCATCAAGAGTGGCTGTAGTGCTCGACAGGTGTGCGCAGGGAATACTCACTTCGCTGTGGTCACAGTGGAGAAAGAACTGTACACCTGGGTGGTAAGTGACCACTGAATACCTTGGAACAGTTCTCCCTGTGGACTGGACCCAGGGCCTCTAAGCATGACTAGTGGCATGGGGCCATGGGGTTTTGACTGTTTAGTTCACTGATATTTTCCCTGTGCCTGATACAAACCAGCCACCTGCAAATGTTTTTTGAATAGGAGAACGTGAGAAAATTAAACGAGTCCTAAGTGTGGACTCAAGAGACTGGATGGTGTCAGACAAGCCACTTAAACACACTGTTCTGTTCCCTTGACTGTCAGAGCACCCAGTGTCTAGGGAATAGACCGGTAAACAAGTGGGACACCGGAGTATGTCAGGAATTCTTGCAGAGCCCACCAGGAGCGAGGTGTGGCTCGTGCAGAAGTGCCTTGGCTGCACTCTGCGCTCTACCATGTCTTGCCACTTAAGACGACTGTGTCTGCTGTTCCTGAGCCCCCTGCCCTACGCCTCATTCACCTGTAGTGCCGCTGCCAGCCCTGCCATGAGGTTAAAACTGGTCTTGACAGAACAACCTTTAAGTTGTTCAAATTAAACATACTTTTTAGTCCTTACCTAGCTCAAACTCTCTGCAGCATTGGCCTGGTTAGGCACTCCACCTGAAGCTCTGTCTTGATGTCTGTGACAGCATGTTCTCTTGCCTGTCTCTCTGATTTTCAGACTGTTTGCCGGCAATTTCTTTTCCCAACCTTGTCGTGGACCCTGGATGCCAACCCCCTCAGGGAGTTCATTTTTCACCAGAGCTGCTAGATACCTTCTCCACAAGGACAGAGACTGCATTTGCTTTATTCACTGCCTGATCCTCTGTGTGAGCAGAGAGTCAACCACTGGTTGCAAGAGATGAAATTATCTGGCCTGTGTTACTGTGTTCTTGACTTGCTGTTATTTCCTAAAGTTCTTACTCCTCCAGAAATCATGGGTGGGCCCCACACAGTAGCCTAGTGGCTAAATCTTCACCTTGCATGCACCGGGATTCCATTCGGGTGCTGATTCTAATCCCAGCAGCTCCACTTCCCATCCAGCTCCCTGCTTGTAGCCTGGAAAAGCAGTCAAGGATGGCCTTGGGACCCTGCACCCATGTGGGAGACTGGAAGTGGCTCCTGGCTCCTGGCTTCAGATAGATGCAGCTCTGGCCATTGCAGCCACTTGAGGAGTGAATCATCGAATGAAAAATCTTCCTCTTTCTCTTCCTCTCTATATATCTTACTTTCCAATAAAAGAAAAAAATATATATGTATATGTATATTTTTAAAAAAGAAGAACTAGGGGCTACCAGAAGTGCAGTGAAGTTAGTTAGTGCCTTTGTGGTTGTGTCACTGAATGGAAATGGTGCTTACCTTTACAGAGTTGTTAGAGTCACTGAGGACTGTTCTCCATGCTGTGTAGCAGCTTCTCCGGCACAGGCAGAATCCTTATAACTGTTCTGTGATTTAACAGTTAGGTTGGAGCTAAGCTTTTATAATGAAAAGTGAGAACTCATCAAACCTGTTTATTTCACAGAACATGCAGGGGGGTACTAAGCTCCATGGTCAGCTGGGCCATGGAGACAAAGCATCGTACCGACAGCCGAAGCGCGTGGAGAAGCTGCAAGGCAGGGCTATCCGTCAGGTGTCGTGTGGCGATGATTTCACCGTCTGCGTGACAGGTAAGCCACCAGCAAAACCTCCTAAGTGCATCTGATGTAGGGGTATTGTGCTTAAAGCTCGGTTGTGTTAGATGGGATTTTACAGCAAAAGACAACATTGAAAGAAAGACATGAGCAAAAAAACACACTCATTAATAATAACATACTCAGTTTGCTATGTGTGAGGGAGTGATGAGCCAGCAGGCAGGTGGGTAAAAGAAAAGGTAGGATTAAGAGAAATGTGTATGTCCCATTTGTGACCACATCACCAGTCTGTGGGTAGCAAAACCAGGAGTGTGGGCTCAATTCAGCTTTGGTCTTGACGTTGCTCTTTATGATTCCTTGGTACTTCTCTCACTGTTTTGTTTTATTTTCATTGTATATGGTAGAGAAGGTCCCAGCAAAATTTTAAGCCCTTTTCACATGCTAATGCTACCACTTTTTCAATTATTTATTATGGTAATCTTATGCATGATTCCCCCTGAATACAACTCGAGTTTTTGCAGAGCCTAGCCTTCAGATTTCTGTAATGTAATTGTCTCGTGTGAGCTCGTTGGCTTGGATAGATCTCATTCCAGCCCCGCCCAGCTTTTTGATTGGAAAAATAAGTCTTGTGACAGGTTGTGTTTTCTTCCTTTTGCAGATGAAGGTCAGCTGTATGCCTTCGGCTCAGACTATTACGGCTGCATGGGAGTGGACAAGGTTGCTGGCCCCGAAGTACTAGAACCCATGCAGCTGAACTTCTTCCTCAGCAATCCAGTGGAGCAGGTCTCCTGTGGAGATAATCATGTGGTGGTTCTGACTCGAAATAAGGAAGTCTATTCTTGGGGCTGTGGCGAGTATGGTAGGTGTGGCCCTGTCGGCACTTCCTCTCAGGCGCACAACCTGACTCGGGCTGATGTGCGCCCCAGCATGTTATGCAGCCTTTATGGAGAAGTGTTAAGTGAGAGTCTCATACAGTGTCTTCATTGGAGAAAAAGGCCCTCATTATATTGATTTTTTTTTTCTATGTGTGTTTTAGGACGACTTGGACTAGATTCCGAAGAGGATTTTTATACACCTCAGAAGGTAAAACTGCGAGCACTGTCTGCCTGGAGTAGTGCCCTGCGTCACACAGGCATCAGTGCTGTGTTCTCTTCCCCTGACTTCTCACATCAAGATGTTGATTCCTGAAACATTTTCCTCTCTGGGAGACTGCCACTCTGGGACTCCCGATTTAGCACTACGTGTGGTCTTGTCATCTGACTCAATCTCAGGAAATTGAGAAAGCAGACAGGGGTCCGTGAACACTGTGGGGTCACCTCTCACTCAGGGATGATTGCTGTGATCAGCAGGTTCAGCAGAAAAGTCACACAGAGCTAAATATATCCTGGAAAACTCCTGCCGAAGATACTGGAACGCAGCATGCTGTCTTACTTACCCAGGCACAGCCAGTTCTCCTCCTACAGTTGAATACCAGGCAAAATGTTGGTTTAGCCTAGGGCTTGTGCAGCCTGAAATACATCCAGTTACGCTCAGCACTGCCAGAGCTGGCCCTGTGAGAAGCTCGTGTGGCCCGAAGCCCACGGAGGGAAAAGACCCATCACATTTCCCTCCCAGCCTCCCCTGGCACAGGCCTACCTGCCAGGAGGCCACAGCTCTTCCAGTTGCTGTTATCAGCTGCACTTACATTTTCAGCTTTGAGAAAACTATAGTAGAAATTGTGAGATTCGAGCAGTTTCGATTTCACACAGAGCCGGTGTTTCCTGTTCTGTCACCCCACCATTCTCCAGCCCTGTCTGATTAACTGTTGACAGGAGTGAGCATTTGGAAGCCCTGGCTGCTTCCTCAGTACTGCCACATCTCTCCTTCAAAGATTTATTTATTTTTATTGGAAAGGTAAAATTAAAGAGAGATTGTTGATTTTGTATCATGACTTTTCATTTAAGGGGATGTACAGTAGCTGTGAAATGGAGACTAACATCCAGATGTGAGGATGCGGTGTAGTATGCATTTCTTCTTCCAGACAAAGATGGACTTACAATGAAACTGTTTACTATATCTTGACAATAGGATTCTGGACTCTCTGCCATTGTCCATGCCTGCAATGATGGACATATGACTGAGTATGAAGAACTATATGTTAGTAATGATATAGAGGAACTAGGTGGGGGGGGAGTGGAGAGAGAATTAGAAAGGGGATAAGGGAATATGGAACTGTATCATAAAGTGATAATAATAATAATAAAATGTAAAAAAAAAAATTCCAAAAACAAAACAAAAAAAAAAAGAATTAGAGCACGCTTCCATCTGCTGGTTCACTCCCCAAATGGCCGCAGCAGCCAGAGTTGGGCTAGTCCAAAGCTGGGAGCCAGGAGCTTCTTCTAGGTATCCTGCATGGATGCAGTGCCCACATAGGATGCCAGTGTGACAGCCAAGAGGCTTAGGCTGCTATGCCACTACACCAGTCCCTGTCATCTGTGACTAAATTGGGCCCCAGAGTAAGGATCTGCTATTGTCAAGGAGGACAAAATCAGTGATGACCTGAAGCTTTTCCAATCACATTTTTCCTCAGAGAGATCTCCCCAGGCAGGACCTAGTACCAGCACAGACCCGCTGGGACTGTCCTTTCAGTGACCCAGCAGGGTCCTCTAATCCTTTGTGTTATGGAACTTGAGCTGTGAGCTCTGAACTCTTGCTGGGCAAGTCTGAGAGACAGGGCAACCCCTGCTTTTGTGCCACCACCCTGCCAAGTACAGCATGTCCCTTTGGAAAGAACAGAAGGGGCTTTTCCTAATGCAATTTGTGTTGTAGATTTCTTTTCCTGACTTACTGTTTTCTTGTAGGTGGATGTTCCCAAGGCTTTGATCATCGTCGCAGTTCAATGTGGTTGCGATGGAACATTTCTGCTGACCCAGTCAGGCAAAGTGCTAGCCTGTGGGCTTAATGAGTTCAACAAGCTGGGTCTGAATCAGTGCATGTCTGGCATCATCAACCATGAAGTGAGTGCCCCCCTGTGGTATCCTAACCTGGAATTTCTTTGTGATGCTGTTGCTAGTTAATGACCAGGGAATTTCAGTTAAGAAAAAAGCAGTGCTCGTGTGGATGTTGTGTTCAGGAAAAGAAGGCAGCTACAGTGCATATTATATAGTTACAGTAGTACGAAGTTCAAGACGAGACAGAATTACCTAGCAATAGCAGTGATCAAAACAGTGATTATCTCTGGGAGGAGTGTGAGTGTAAGCAGAGGAGGTGAGAGGAAAGGACCCTAGGATGGTGCCCGCAGTCTGGTGGCACAGGGATAGGCATATGGGAAAATGTTCCAAACTGTGCAATGTTAGTAATTCATCACTGGCAAAGAACAAAATGATAGAATCATGTCCAGTCATGTCATTGAAATAAGAACAAGAAAATGGGCATTTTGAACAGAAACATTCCCATGCATTACCTCCGTACAGAGTTCTTCAGAACAGAACATACAGATTCATAAAATGTAATTACTTTCTCCCCTCCAAGGTTTTCTGAAATTCATCACTGATAACTGAGTCTAGTTTTCTCTTTGTAGTATTAGAAATTTTTGGTCATTTTTCTACAGAAGCAGGTTAAAAGACTCGATAAAGAGAGGTTAGACCTGATTTTTTTCAAAGTTTTTTTTTAAGTCAGAGAAACAAGGAGAGGTAAAAAGAGATCTTCCACCTGCTAATTCCCTCCCCAAATAGCCACAACAGCCAGAGCTAGCGTGATTCTAAGCCAGGAGGCTGAAACCCCATCTGGCTCCCCACAGAATATGGGCCATGCTCTGCTTCTTTCTCAGAAGCATTTACAGGAAGCTAGATCAGAAATGGAGCAGCCTGAATGTGAAATGACACTCATATGGAATGCTGGTGTTGAAGGCAGGAGCTTAATCCACTCTGCCACACATAACACTGGCCCAAGAATTGATTTTTAAGCAGTCAGTGAAGTAGAGAGTCTCAGTTGGGAGAATACAAGTTCAGGGCAAAGCTAGAGAGAGGATCTGTACAGGATGAAAAGGCATTTTCAAAATTATCTTTGCCTGATTTGCATTTTATTATAAAAGTTGGATTTGTTGTACAATGTTAAACTTACAGAAGGTTGTTTTGTTTTATTTTTAAGATTTATTTATTTTTATTGGAATATCAGATTTACAGAGAGGACTTTAACCACTGTGCTATCACGCTGGGCCCCAGATTTACAGAAAGAAGAAGAGACAGAAAGATCTGCATCTGCTGGTTCACTCTCCACATGGCCACAGTGGCCCAAGCTGAGCCAATCCGAAGCCAGTAGTTTCTTCTGGGTCTCCCATGTGGGTGCAGGGTCCCAAGGCCTTGGGCCATCTTACTGCTTTCCTGGACCACAAGCAGGGAGCTTGATGGGAAGTGGAGCAGCTTGGATTAGAACAGAGATGGGATCCCAGTGCATGAAAGGCGAGGACTTCAATCACTAGGCTACTGTGCTGGGCCCTTTGTTTTTAACTCATTCAAAAGGACCATGAGTTTTAACAAGTTGGAAAATAGTGTAAATAAAATTGAATATTGGGGCCTGGCGCAATAGCGTAGCAATTCAAGTCCTCGCCTTGCATGCGCCAGGATCCCATATGCGCCGGTTCTAATCCCGGCCGACCTGCTTCCCATCCAGCTCTCTGCCTGTGGCCTGGGAAAGCAGTCGAGGACGGCCCAAAGCTTTGGGCCCCTGCACCCTGCACCCACATACATGGGAGACCCAGAAGAGCTCCTGGCTTCAGATTGGCTCAGCTCCAGCCTTTGTGATCCCTTGGGGAGTGAACCATTGAACGAAAGATCTTCCTCTCTGTATATCTGACTTTCCAAATAAAAATAAATAAATCTTTTTTTTTTAATTGAATATTGAATCACAGTAAAGTGCTTTATGGCCTGGCAAAATTCTTCAGGGCTTTAATTCTGCTCTACTCTTGTTAAGCGTGGTGAGTGTATAGACAAAACAAGTATCAGTCATTCTGGAGTTAGAGAATTCACGTTTTGTACATCTTAATTCAGAATCTCACCTTCATGGTCCAAAAGTCCTCCATCACACACGAGTCTCTGAGTAAATTTTGAGCTTGTTTCTTGGGTGTATTCTGTTGTGGATGGAGCTCCCCAGCCCCGTTAGTGATGTGATGCTTCCAAGGCCTTTGGTTACCGTGACCGTTTCCCTTCTAGGCCTGTGATCCCCGCACTTCTCATTCAGGAATCTTTGCTTTGTTGCAGGCATACCATGAAGTTCCCTACGCAACCTCTTTTACCTTGGCCAAACAGTTGTCCTTTTATAAAATCCGCACCATTGCCCCAGGCAAGACGCACACAGCTGCTATTGACGGTGAGTGGGTTGACAGCTGCGTCACGGGCCTCCGCAGGGTGGCAGGCAGGCAGGCTGTTGCACTCTTTCAGCTCCAGCTTTTCTTGAAACTGGACATGTCCTGCTGCTTGCCCCCTGGTGTCCAGTGTTAGGTCTTTAACACATTCAGCATTCAAGTACCCATTTTTATTGACATTTTAAGTGTATGGAAAGTACAACAATATGGAGAAGCCTTACCTGTAAATCCAGGTATCTGCTGTTTATAATTATGATCTCTGGAAGTAGAAGGTACCCATTTCCATGTTAAAAATGCCATACCATCCAAGAGAAAATAGAGTATTGAGTCACCTACTGATCTGATTGGCTGTGGAACCTTGGGTGCTCTAGTTGCCATAGGTGCAGGCTGCCATGGCTAGCATTGTGGGATCAGAATCTGGACTACAGCATTCTGTGTTGGCTGCTGCCTCCCTCTGCTCTATGTCCATTTGTTCCTGATGACTTATTTTTGCCTGTCTCTCAGAACGAGGCCGGTTGCTGACCTTCGGCTGCAACAAGTGTGGTCAGCTGGGCGTTGGGAATTATAAGAAGCGTCTGGGAATCAACTTGCTTGGGGGACCCCTAGGTGGAAAACAGGTGATCCGGGTGTCCTGTGGTGATGAGTTCACCATTGCTGCCACTGATGGTGAGTCTGCATGTGTTGTTGCAAGTTTTCTGCAGAGACGGCTGTTTTCATTGCTGGTGGGGAAAGAGGTGGTCATTTATATAGCTGGATACCGCACTGGCTTTGTAGTGTTAAACCAGTGGCTAGTTGTTAACCCAGAGTGAGTTTCATTAGCTTTTCATACATCCAACCTAGTAACTTTTTCTTTTAAAGGACAGATGTGTAGATTATGGCAAGTAATAATCTAAGTTCCTCTTGTAATTTTAGCTTTGACTTTGTATGGGTGTCTTGCCCAGCCCCATGCTGGCTTTAGTAAATGCTGACAGGGTGGCTTGGAGAGAGAATAGCAGAACTTGGGCCAGCTGCTTGCCTAGGGTCTGCCATGCTGCAGCCATGTCCTCTGTGAGGATGAATGTGCTGTGGCTTAACTGTTTTCCCTCCCGTGTTGTGTGTCAATCAAGTTTATTCTCTTCTCTCACAGCTGTCTATCTCAGCTGCTTCTTGCTCCTACCACTGCTTGCTTTCTTTTTGGCCACTGTTGCTATTCCTCATTCCCTTCCTCTTTTCTTTTTTCATTTATTTAAAAATACTTACTTGAAAGGCAGAATGATGGGGCAGGGGTGGGGGAAAGAAGTTTTCTATCTGCTGATTCACTCCTGAACTCCCACAACAGCCAATTCTGGACCAGGCCAAAACCAGGAGCCTGGGACGTAGATGGAGGGGATCCAGGTTCTCGAGCCCATCACCTGCTGCCTCCTGGGCACGTCAGTGGGCAGCTTGACTAGAAGCTGAGGAGGGACTGCCATATGGGATGCAGACATCCCAAGCAGCAGCTGTCTCCTCCATCTCCCTCCCCCGCCAGATTTTGATTTGTTTTGTTTTGTTTTGTTTTTGTAGCTACTTCTTGAGACTGGTAAACAACACATCATTTCATATTCTTGTCTGTTGATTCATCAACTTTGCTGTTGCTTGTATGTTAAGGTAGCCTTGTTTTGCTGAGCGTGTCCAAATGAAGGGGGTCCCAGCAGTGGTGTCAGTGAAATGATCTGTCACCACATTTAGTTAGATGAGCCAGTTTCAGAGCAACACATTAAACTCTGCTGTGTCTTATAAAAAGGGAGAGCAGGGAGCAAACTGCTCAGGTCAGCCTTGGATGAACTAGTACTGCAAATCAGTGTCGTGCTGTATGTCCAGTAGCACCTTATTTTTCTGTTTTTTAAGTTATTTTTTATTTGAAAGCCAAAGACAAGAAGACCACACACCCCACCCCATGACTATGCCCGTGATGGCCAGGTCTGAGGCAGGCCTTTCTCTGGGTTTCCCAAGTGCATGAGTGACCCAGGTGCTGAAGACATCACTGCTACCTACCTGGCTCACATTAGCAGGCAGTTGGGATCAGGAGCAAAGCTAAGACCAACTCTCAGATACTCTGGTGTGAAATGTGAGTCTTCCCAAGCAGTGACATAACTCTTTCTGACAGGCCCACAGAGAAATATTGTTTCTGGAACACCTCTGTATACTTCATGAGTTGAGCTTAAGGGGTGTAAATTTGATTCTATGCCTGGGCCCATTAGCTCTTTATAAATGTTCTCTTACTCCTGTGCACTGTGTTTGCTAGCCTCGTTTGTGTCTACGTTTTTGTTTGAACTCTGGGACTGGAGATGCTGTCTCCAAAGTCAGTTCTTTTCTTTCAATTACCGCAAAATACTGCCAGCTCTGTCACTGCCTCTGACATCCTGGATTCACTTATTCAACAATCCTTCAACTTGGCTATTTAAGGGTAGAGTAATTGGACTCGATCAAGTACCCACTCTGCCTCCCATTTTTCAGCCACTCGCTGTGGGAGGTAGTGGGTGGTTCCTCTTGTTTTGCATCCATGCTACCCTAATGGAAGAACCTGGGAGTTCTTGGCTCCTGACCTCCACGTATTCCAGCCCCCACTTGTTGCAAGCATTTGGTGTGAACCAGCAGGTATAGGATCTGTTTTTTTTTTTTTGCCACTTCACCTTTGAAATAAATATCAATATCAATATAAATAAATAAACCTTAAGGAAAAGAGTGATTGTGACACACTTACACAGTAAGCCCTGATTCATGCCTGTTGTTCTGGCATCACTCCTGTTTTCATTGAAAGAGATGGCCTGATTTGGATAAGAAGTCATGGGCAGCTCAGCTTATTCTGATTTTCAACCCAGTCCTGTTCCTCATGCAGCCCTTTTGTCTTAGTAAATGGCAGCTCCATCCTATACCTCACATCCCACAAATGCTCTTCAGAATGCATCATGCGTCTGACCACCTCTCACCAACTTTGCTACCTTAACTGTGCTCTGCTTTCACCCTTGTACCCCAAAAGCTGTCATGAGAGCCCAAGGAATCCTTTTACGTTCACACTGCTTAAAACCTCCAGTGGCTCCTGTGTCTGACAGGCAGCACCTAGGGCCTCATGGTGGCCTGCACGGCACTACTGGAGGAGGACCCAGCCACCTTCTGACTGACTGCTCTGTCACCTCATCATGTGTCACCTCATTGTGACTTCCTAACGGACACCCCATTGTGCTCCAACTGCAGAGGCTTCTCTGCTCCTTGTTCCTGTCCCTAACACCACCTGAGCAGAGCTTCTCTTGGCTCTTCCTGCTCTGCCTCAGGTCTCCCTCCCTTCAGTCTGATCTCTGCCCAGGTGTTTAAAAAAACTTCTCTTGACCACCCCACCCAAAATAATGAAACCTTTATTTCTGCTTAATTTTTATCATCACTAATCTTCCTTCTTACCATCACCTAAAATATTAGATACTTGTTCATCCCATTCTCTCCCCGTTAGCATGTCAGTTACACACAAGCTGCGCTATCACCTGCAACATGAAGGAGATGCCCAATAAAGGTTTGGGTGAACAGCCAATATAAAATTGTTGAATGTGCAAGTAATGTGTAAGCACATTGGAGCAGTGATCACTGTCTGAGATCAGGAAGAACTTAGGCTATTAGGAGCAGTCAGCCTCCATAATGCTCTCCCTACTGTGAAGGCATCCACAAAGACAGGGAATACAAAGAGTGAAGAAGTTGTTCTGTGAAACACTGAACTGTTTCTTTTTTTTTTTTAATTCCTCTAGATAATCACATTTTTGCCTGGGGCAATGGTGGTAATGGCCGCCTGGCAATGACCCCCACAGAGAGACCACATGGTTCTGATATCTGTACCTCCTGGCCTCGGCCTATCTTTGGATCTCTACATCATGTCCCAGACCTGTCTTGCCGTGGCTGGCACACCATTCTCATTGTTGGTAAGAGTCAGCATCTGTTCGAGGTTGGGTGGCTTTGGCAGAGGACAGACCCATTCTTAAGGTACTGATTGTCACATTCTTGAAAAGAGAGGTGTCCTGAAGAATGACAGGCTGTTGAAGTCTTGTAATGGTCACGGAGCCCTGCCTAATGATGGGAACAAAATATTCTCATTTCCCGAGCTTATTTTCTGCCATCTGTTAATATCTTGACCTTTTTTTTTTAACGTAATTTTGAGTGTTTCCCCATGGTAAAGTTTTGTTATCTCTAGTAGTCCATCAGCAGTTTAATCTGTGTTTATCCTTTCTTGAGAAACTTTCAGTACATCTTTAAAAAGATGGCTATCTCATTAATGTTTTTTCCATAGAGATTACTTTGCTATGGACCAAATATGAAAGTCTGTGTAAGGGATGCACATAGCAATCCTTGGGGAGCTTCTGCCAGTCCTGGTGCCGACCCTGCCCCTGACCAGTGAATCTGAGGTGACCGCTGGGAATCATTACTTCCTAAAGTTCTCCAAAAGCTCCCAGGGAACAGTTAAAATAGAGAATTGCTACCTCAGTCAATATGGTTTGAGTCGCTAGTGAGGCTTGGTTTAGGATATTAATTTCTAAAATAATAACAGCTACAATGTTATCTGGAATCAAAGATAACCCTTCTCTCCCTAGTCTACTCTTCTTTCATTTTCCCTGCCTGTATCCGTATACAATGCTTATTGACTGACTATTCTTCCTCAGAGAAAGTATTGAATTCTAAGACCATCCGTTCCAATAGTAGCGGCTTATCCATTGGAACTGGTAAGTAGCAATGTGTCTGCTATTGGTGGTTTTCTAAAGCAGGTCTTTGGCTTTAGTTGGCTTCGGTTCCATGCAGGCTCCAAAACTCAAGCTAGGGAATTTCTTTGGGGTGTGAGGAATACAGTGATTCAGAGTGAAGATCATATTTTGATGAGTTTTCATAAGAAGTGAAGGCTTTCACACTGTGATTAAAGCGACAGTGTAGCTTCGTTTTTGTTAATGCCTGTGGGTATAATTAAGTGATTTGCCCAACATTGTCCTGTAACTTATTCCTTCCCTCAGCATCCTAGGAGCCACAGGTTTTTTTGGTTTTTTTTTTGTTTGTTTGTTTGTTTGTTTTGCCCTTGTCTTTGATATTCCCAAGGATATTCCAGTTTACAGACTATTCCTTCCAGAAGGATATGCAGAAGGAAAAGCTAGCTAGCTAAGCTTTCAATCAACTGAAAATTTTCCGATAGCTTTCCTTGATGGCTTTCTTCATGGTTCTGTGTTATAATAGGATCATTATAATGGGAAATTGTTTCTTTTTGGTTCCCCATCTGTTATACCTAATATCACAAAACCCGAATTCTGGAATTTTGTGGAATCAAAACAGATAAACACCCATAATTAAAGCAGGCTAATTCCCCCAAAAGAAATTATTGAAAATAATGCAGACTTGGGGACAGTATTTAAAGAAAAAACCTAAGATTGAAAGCAAATGTTCACTATCCAGAAAATGTAAATTTCAGTAATTCAGGAAGTTTTTGGGTTTTTTTATTCATTAATTTTATTTACAATGCCTAGTATGGTGTCCAGCATATGGTAAATTGCTCAACAAATATTTGATTGCTCAACACCTATTGGATTCTCATTACATAGGAACAAAAATGCGCTTCTCCAGATATTCCCATAATGTGAAATGTAAAAAAGCAAATTACAGCAGACTCCATGCCTTCTTACACAGTTTTAAAAGAAACAAAATAAATGTGTTGAAGAATACACAAATATGTGATGAAGTGCTTTTTTAGAAGAACTAGTAGGCATCAGAGTGGTTTCATCGGGAGGAAGGGAATCCAGTGACAGCTGCGTGGCTGTATAGGCAGTGCTCTTGTCCAGCCACCTCCAGGAGAGCAGCTCTGCTTCTGTGCTGACAGAGCAGAAGCCGTCAGCTGTGTGTGTCTGTTGAGCTTTCAGAAGGTGGCTAGTATGACTGAGGGACTGAATTTAACTTTTATATAGCCACATTTGATTGGTGGCTTTTCCTTCTAGGGAAATGGAAGGACTAGTCTATAGACTGGCATACCCTTGAGAATATCAGTTCTGATAGAGTGACACACGTTTATGTTATTTTTAGCTATCAAAACATGCACACACACATATATTAAAAATGGTTCTACGTGTACCCCAAATTACTGTAATTCTTAAAAGCCATTTAAAACAAAAAAAGCTTCAGGGCTGAATCTGGTACCTCTAGTTTGGCTGCTTCAGTAGGGTCACAGTGTGGTTCACAGCCAGCACAGTGAAGGATGGGAAGCAGCCTTCGCATTTAACCTAGAACACACTATATAGCTTCTTTTCTTACATTTCGTTTTTGTTTCCTAATCATACACCATAAAGTAACTTGAAATACATAGCATAGAATAAAAGAAGCAGCTACTCTGTTTTTAAAATTAATAATCATCTGGGAATTTAAAGCTCGCGTGAGTGTTGAGGAATTCATCACTCAGGTGTCCCTGCAGGGGTGTCATGGATCGGTGTAAGTAGCTACTTCAGGAGGTGGTTGGCTCAGAGGTTTGAGGTTTTATGCAGAGTGGATGTGAGTGAAGGGTGCTGGAGTCTGAATGTATCTGTTAGAGAAGCAGAGTAAGTATGCATGCTCCGCTGTGGCTTGCGGGACTTTTCGATTCTGCTTTAGAATATTAGTAATCTGCTGCAGACAGATAAAGATAACAAGTTTGGGAAGTAAAAATACATTATCCTGATGATCCTAATACAGAAAATACCTTGTGCAAAAAATACATACATACAGCCCCAAGTATCTGACCTGCACATATCTGTCCACTTCGTACAACTGAAGAACCTTCCTGGGCATATGTGGGGCTGTTGGATGGTGAAGGTGAATCTTCTGTGCAGTATATGGCAAAGTTCTCTGCCTCTGTGCTGTTTGTTTGTCAGTGGTCCAGAGCTCGACTCCAGGAGTCAGCGGTGGTGGCGAAGAGGAGGAGAGTCCGCAAGAGTCTGAAACTCCTGACCCAAGTGGAGGCTTCCGGGGAACCATGGAAGCGGACCGAGGCATGGAAGGTTTAATGAGTCCCACAGAGGCCATGGGGAACAGTAGCGGGGCCAGCAGCTCCTGCCCTGGCTGGCTTCGCAAGGTGACTCCTTTGGAAAAGATAACATCTGATAAAATAGCAGGTCTTTTACAAGGAACAGAAAAGAACAGTCAGGATTCAGAGTTTCCACTTTGCTGTTGAACTTCGCATCACGAGAACCAATGTTCTCATATCTGTTTTATCTAAATGAGTATAAGTTGTAGTCCCTGTGTGCAGAGATTAAGCTTCCAGATCCTGCACTGTTGCTTATAGAAGTGGAGTGTTAGGGATGTTGCATTGCTTTACATGTTAGAAAAATGGTTGTGAAAGTTTAAGTGAAAGCAGTGAAAATATTGAATATAGTTAGGTTAGAAAGTTGGTTACAAAATACGGTTGTGTGGAAGATGATGGATCCATTAGTATGATCTTACCCTTTTAGAAAATATAGAATGTCCTGGAAAATGTAGACCAGGGTACATAACCGTTGATTTTTTTTTTAAGATTTTATGTATTTCTGTTGCAAAGGAGGTCATTTATACAGAGTAGGAGAGACAGAAAAGATCTTCAATCTGCTGCTTTCCAAATAACCCCAAATGATTGCAGTGGCCGGAGCTGAGCTGATCCGAAGCCAGAACCCAGGAGCCACCTCCGTACCCCACAGCCTTGTGCCATCCTCTACTGCCTTCCCAGGCTACAAGTAGGGAGCTGGATGGGAAGTGGAGCAGTCCACATGGGATCCAGGTGCCTGCAAGGCGAGGATTCAGCCGTGAGCCATCACGCCAGACCCTGCATATTGATCATTTAACAGTGGCCTTTGTTAGTTTCCTTTACCCATCTGCATTTTCTTTTGTAGTTGCTGAAATTTTAAGTTTACCCAAAAGTGGGGGAGGGATAAAGTTATAAAACTCCTGAACAGGGGAGGAAGGTAGCCCACTGTTCTCTGCACCCGTAACCTCAGCCTTTAGCAATCTCTCCATTGACCTCAGTACTGTCACCGGAGAGCATCCCAAGTAATTAGCAATCCTGTAATGAAACACACCACGTGCTCCAAGTCATTGAATTTGAATTTGTGTCGCTGCTGCTCCCTGATGAAAGGATGGTGGTTTATTTCCAAGTCCTATGAGATGTGTTACCCACCACTTCCCCACTAGAGGGTGCTAACGTCAAGCCAGAGGAAAGCTGTAGCAAAGAGAGTAGGGTGTTGGAAGAGATGGCAACAGAACTGGCAACAGAACTCAGGGGCTTTTATTTCACATCCACAGGAGCTGGAAAATGCGGAGTTCATCCCCATGCCTGACAGTCCCTCTCCCCTGAGTGCTGCCTTTTCAGAATCTGAGAAAGACACCCTTCCCTATGATGAGCTGCAAGGCCTCAAGGTGGCCTCGGACGTGCCTTCAGAACACAAGCCCCAAGCTGGAGCCTGGGTAAATGAGACTGCTGCCCTTGAATGCCAGCCAGGTGGGCGGTGACTGGGAGCTCTGCTTCTCCTGGTCTTGCTCGCTCCACCTACAGCTCCCTTGGTCATCATCTTCCCTGCATCCATTCCTTATCCTGTCTGTCCACTACTGCAAACTGGCCCCCTCCGCTCAATGGAAGGGGTTCCCTTTTATCCTTTCACATCTGTAGAAGGCAGACACTTTCCTGCACCGGAGGATTCTTTCTTTCCTCTCTGCCTCCAAATACCAAACTCAAACCTCCCAATTTCAGCTGCAGTTGCTCACGACACTGCCAGTGTGGGCTGGAGGCCGTAAGCACAAGTGGCGCTTCTGGTCCAGTGCAGGCACAGCACATGCTCACCTGACCTGGGCAGAAATGGAATTACAGTGAGCATATTGATAAAACTGCTAAGGAAATAATTTAAGACATTGCAGGCCAGCTAGTCTCTTTTGCAACTACTCAACTCTGAAAAGCAGCCACAGATAATACAGAACGAGGGAGCAGCCTGGGTAGCAGGAAAACTGTGTTTGCAAAAACAGGTGGTAGGCTGCACTTGGCCCAGGAGCAGACACTAACTGACGCTAGCTCTAAACAAAGTACAATCGAAGGGAGAAAAGCCCCTGGTAGAATTAATTCTACAGCTTCCCGGAAGAGGTAATCAAACCTTGGAATCTGGTGGGGAACATTTGAATCCCGCTGTTAATTAGCTGCCTGGAATCATGTTGTGGTTCTGTTGCCCAGCACCTCACTCTTCTAATGTGAGATCATGCTGACTGGATCCCCCGTGTCCTCGCCGCGCTCGGGATGCGGTGTCCTCGCTGCAATCACTGTAATCAGGAGCCCTTGTCCCCGGCCAGGTTGTGCTTATCCCCACCTCAGCATGTGTAAGCAAGAGGACATCAGTGCACTTTGAAATTGTTCACCCTGTCTTCCTCAGTCGATGGTTGTTCTAGTGCCTTCGCCTAAAGGACGAAGTTGCCTTCCCTTACTATGTTAGTGCCAAGTGCTACTGGAATGTTTGCTGCCATTATTTTTTGTTTTCCTCTCATGTCTTTACATCTGCTCATGTCTGCATTTGTTTTATCTTGTTTGTTTAAGAGTAATCTCTGAAGGAGGCTTGGATTGGGGGACCAGGGCACCTGAGCAGACCTTCCCGCACTCTCTCCTTGTCTCTAGCCCCCTCGGCTGAATCCTGCAGGGACGCCTGCTGGGAAGGGAACACCCCTGAGCCCTGCCTGTGTGTGTAGCACCCTGCAAGGGGAGGTGGAACGATTACAGGGTCTGGTGTTAAAGTGTCTGGCTGAACAGCAGGAGCTACAGCAAGAAAACGTCCAGATTTTTACTCAACTACAGAAGCTGAATAAGAAGTTAGAAGGAGGGCAGCAGGTGAGCATTAAAAACATAAGTCAACTTCCTGGTCTGTTTTGAAGAATCTGAGAATCGCACACCAAGTACTGAAAATGGACTTGCTTTCCGAGACCTTTCCTCTTAATGCAGTTAATTCCAAAAGCATTGGGAGCACTATTGTTGTGTTTTGTGACCATGTGTTCTCACTCTTTTTCTTTTACCTTTTATGATGAAAAACCTTAAACATGACAGTACAATGAACCCACCCATCCTCCTCCTAGATGTGATCATTGTTACTGTGTTAGTGCTCTCACATTGAAGTGTGTGTGTGTCAGTCAAGGAATATACAGAGTTGACCCTTGAAGCTTACTGAAGGTCTAGGGACACCAACTCTCTGTGCAGTCAAAAGTCCACATCTAACTGACTCCACAGACAACTGACAGCCTGCTCTTGATTGCTGCCTGCCCAGCAGCAGGCATGTTGTTAGTGTCACGTGTGTTGTATGTATGCTGAGAGCTCCTCTAGAGCTGCAAGAGATGACTTGCTACTGCAGCAGACACTTCACTGGGGAGACGAAGAGCTTCTGCAGAGCGGTCAGAGGTAAGCAGAGCACTCGCATTTCTCGCCAGTGCCAACAGGAAGTGACACAGAACCATTTCAGCAAAGGAATGTGGGTGACACTTCATCTCGTGCACTGTGATCTACTGCAGCTTTGCATGTGTTCACCTCTCTGCATGAGTGGTACTTTAACTTACTTTTTCCGTTTTTTCAATTTCAGGTGAAAGATCTTTGCTTTCAAATTAAGTTTTTTTTAACTTTTAAAAAATTATTTAGTTATTTGAAAGGCAGAGTAAGAAGAGATACAAAGAAGTCTTCCATCTGCTGGTTCACTCCCCAAATATCTGCAGCAGCCAAGGCTGGGCCAGGCCAAAGCCAGCACCAGGAGCTTCTTCCAAATCTCCCAAGTTTGAAGTAGGGACCCAAGCACTTGGGCTGTGTATTGCTGCTGTTCCTCCAGGTGCATTACCAAGGAGCTAGGTTGGAAGCAGAAGGCTGGAGCTTGAACTGTTGTGCACGTCACAGACAGCAGCCCAGCCCCCTGTGCCACAGCATCAGCACCCTTATCACTGTTTTGTTAAACTAGAATCCGTTGTAACAGCTTCACGTTACATTCTGGCTATGTCTCAGTGTAATCTAGAACGACAGCCTCTACCACCATCACTTTTTTTAATGTATTTCAATGACATTGACTTGTTGAAAAGAACTGAGTTAATTGTTTAACAGGAATGTCTCACGGTGCCATGACATAATAGGGTAAGCTTTTGCCTGTAGTGCTGGCATTCCATGTGGGTACTGGCTCGTGTCCCAGCTGCCCATCTTATGGGTGGGAAGGCAACAGAGGATGGCCCAAGTTAAAAGGCCCTGGCACCCGCCTGCGAAACCCAAAAAAAGCTCCTGGTTCCTGGCTTCAGAATGGCCCAATTCTGGCCATTGTGGCCATTTGGGGAGTGAACCAGCAGATGGAAGGCCTCTGTCTCCCACTTACTCTCTTTCAAACAAGTAAAGCTTTAAAAAGAGAGAATTCTGCTTTCAGCAAGCCCTGCAGTGTGAACCAAACAGAGTTGGTTCCCCTACCCAGCACACCGAAAGGAACAGACTTTCCTCTGGTTGGACTATGAGCTCTCACAGGATGGTGGCTGCCATTCCTCAGAGATGAGCATTAAAACACTGTCCCCAGGGGACACTGCTGCTAATGTGCAACTCTTCTCTCTGAGCAGGTGGGGATGCATTCCAAAGGAACGCAGACAGCAAAGGAAGAGATGGAAATGGATCCAAAGCCTGACTTAGATTCAGATTCCTGGTGCCTCCTGGGAACAGACTCCTGCCGACCCAGCCTCTAGTCTACAGGATCCCGGGAAACTGGGGTGCCAAGAACTTCCCAGCACACACTTCTGCATTCATGCGGAGAGCAGCTTCCCCGGCTTTGTTCACGTGCAGGCGAGAAGCGCAAGGCAATGGTGCAGAAGCACTGTCCCTGTACATGTGGAGAGTGGCACTGCCTTGTAGATAGGATCTAGGAGTGACTTTGTTGTTTTGGAGGATGGCAGGGCCCCGTGGCCCCAGCTTCGTCATCAGTGACTGGCACAGCAGCAGCAGCTCTATCGCATCTGTCCACCCCACTGATGAAGAGGAGACAGAATGCTCACCTTGATTATGCTGGTAGCAGCTTGAATCCCATTTATCATTTTCACCATTACTTGGAAGCCGTCCTGAGAATTCACGACCAGGCAGTGCCCTCGGTGCGGAAGCTGAAAGGGCAATGCTGCAGTGGGCTGGAGCTGGGCAAGGTGCCCAGGTTTCCATGGGGCAGGGAGGAGTCCTCCAAACCTGGGGGAGTCCAGCGAGGGCTTGTCTCAGAAAATTCAGTGCCTGTGTAGCCAAATGGCTCCAGGAGGAAAAGTGGGCTTAGGTTGCTTTTCCTCGAGGGTAAAGTGGCCAAGGGCAGGGCCCTCCCCACCACACAGCGCCAAGTTTCAGGCTGTGGTGATGCAGAGCGTGGTCTCCTCGCTTTCCAAATACCTCGGCGAGATGACAGTCTTAGACATGAGGCTGCAGGCTCCTGGCCTTCCTGTGGCTGCTTCTCTCAGCTTCATGGAGCCGAAGAGGGACTCTTCCACCCAGGGGAGGCTTCTCATGCCATCAGCAGCCCCAGCCATTCCCTCTGTATGTCTAGTCAGTATTTTTTTTTTCCCCTTTTGTCTTCTGAAGCCATATCATAACTGGTGAATCTGTGTCATCGTGCCTACTAGAGAGGCCCAAAGCCAACATCCAACCCTGGGAGTCCCTGCAGCCAAACGGGACAGGTCAGCCTTGCCAAGCGGATGGGATTTGGTGAGGGCCCATCCTCCTTGTATCCTTGAAGACAGGAGCAAGCTAGTTTGCCCAAAGAGAGTGAATGTCCTAGAATAAAACTTCATAAAGCCCAGTTCTAGGTGAGCGTTCGATGGCGTCACTGAACGGGGTGAGCTCTGTGTTCCCGCCCAGCCCTAGGAACTGTTCCTTCAGTATTCTGGGTCACAAAGGCTCTCCATGTGAGTTTCAACATCCTTTCTTCTCCCACCCCTGAAAACAATGAAATTTTGTTTTATTCTCCCTAAATCAAACAAACAAAAAAAAAGTTTGGTAATCTGTTTACTGTTGTAGGAGGACCTGGGCAGTGGAAATTTTTGCCATTTGCCCTCCAAGTGGTGTCAAAGCTGGTGCTCGGGGAAAGCCCCATTGGTTGGGGATGGGCAACTCTGTTCATGGGATCGCCATGGCTGTGATGTTCCCATTGTTTTCTCAGTTCTTGGAAGCCTCGTACAATTGTACTAATGTAATCACTGAAACCTTTTTTTGAAATCGAGGGAAGGGGCCAACCCTGAATGAAGGCTCTAAGTCCTGGGGACCTGGGGGTTTGCTGTGAAGCCTAGTGGTGGGTTTTGGTTCATCCTGTAAATGCAACTTCAGCTTTCTTAAGGACTGCCTGGCCTTTCCTGTCCCCAGGTCCTCATGCTCCCCTTCTCAGCAGGCCTGAGGCATAGTCAGTTTGGGTGTTCCTCCTGTGGGTTGTTTCTGCTCTGGAGCTGAGGGACATGGGCACATCACTCAGACTATGGGGTGACAGTGAGCCTCGAAGGTGTGTCCAAACCAGACCTCCGGTTCCAGAGAGGAGTCTTAGCAGTGGGATGCAGGGGCCATTTTCTCTAGCATGTTTCCTTGAGAAGTCTAGGTTTGCTATTACTCTAGCTGAAAATCCGGGTTCTGTGCCTTAGAGACAATTTGCACTTTCTCAAATTGTGCCTGGGATAGCCACAGACCTTTTCCCAGCAGACAGCCATGCAGAGGGAAAGCGGTGCCAAGGCGGCAGTGGCACACCTCGGGAGGGGAGGGACAGCCTGCTGCAAAAGCGCCTGGATGGTTCCTGTGGCTGGGCCTCCTGAAACCGCATCTTGCTTTTTCTTTATGCAGCGCTAGGTGTTTGAAGTTTGCCAGTGTTGTTTCCGAGTTCTAGTATAAGCTGAGTTACTCCTCAGCTCTGACACTGTCGCCAAAAAACTAGCTTATTGTTGGCCAGATGCTTGGAAGGTTGAGGGTGGAGTGGTTTGGCATTTCTGTGTTAAATAAACATTTAAACTCTCAGTGCTTTGCTCAGTCAGCCTGCCCATGGCCTTGGTCACTGAGATAAAAACTCTCAACTCCTCAGCCTGCATGAATATTTGATTTAGCAAGTCTTCATATAAATAAGTGTTTTTGCAACAGAAACAGCCCAGGGGACCCGGGGCACAGAACTGATCCTTGCTTCTTTCCAGTTCCTCGTCTTGCCAGCAGAATCCTTGCCACTGCTCCAGCTTCTCCCCTCCCCCATAATTGATAGAAGAGTGCTGAAAGTGCCAAGTGTGGACAGGCGAGGCTGTCCCAGTGCTCACCTCCCAAACCCATTGAGGCCTGGGAGCATTTCCCTCCCTGCAGGGGGGGCATTGGGTGTGGTCTCCCCAAGCCCCCTCAGCATTTCACTTGAAGTTTAAGGAAAAGCAGCCTAAAACCCAAGTTGTTTCTAGGTTGCCCTGACACCAAGAATCAGGAGCAGCAGTGTGTTCTAAAGAAATTTCGTTCGAGTGAGGTCCCTGGGCCTCCAAGGAAGGATTATCCATGGGAGTGTCAGGGCAGGATGAGCTAGACTAAAACATTCCTTCCCGCTGCAAAGCCAGAAGTCAGTCATTGGTATAATGATTAACTATGGAAATAAACATGCTAACCATTCACTCCAGAATCTGAAACATGAAGAAAGCCGCCTCTGCCACATCTCTGCCGCCTCCCACGTGCTAGGGAAGAGAGACAGATTGGTGACTGAAGGCGAGGGCTGGCCCCAAAGTGCTGTGCTAATAACTACACTGCCCCTAAAGAAATATCTCAACACATTTGCACACACGTCTTAAGTGAAACAAGTTTCCATGTGAGTTTCACCACGAAATTTTTCCCATGGCTTCACCCACTGAACTTTGAAATTTATGATGTTTACTTGCACTAAGGTTTCTTGGATAAAGAAATCCAAATTATGGGTGTCCATAAGCACTGTTATTTGTTCAGTATCATCCCCCCAAGCTTTCCAGGAAAGACTTAGATAAGATTCTCCCCAAACACGAGATCAAGCTCCCCTATAAAATCTAACAGATCCTCCTCATAGGTTCAAGAACCATATAGAGATCAAAGCAAACATTAAGGCACGACTGTTGTGTTTCCTTAGCAGGATAAAAATAACTGCTTCCAAAGGAAGCACTCCCCCAGACATCCGGATCTGTTCTCTTCGGAGGTCCTGATCTATGGCTGCATAATGTCAGCTAGGGATTCCCTGCCCAAGGGGCCAGATGAGTGAAGCAGACAGGTGAGGATGCGCAGCCTGAAGAAGTGACTGGTTCTGACCCCACCCGATTGATCCTATGCAGATACCTAGCCTACTGTCTCAAGAACTTTCCAGTTTCTTTTGAAGAAATTTTCCTTACCTCAATTCTTAGTTGTTAGATCATAGTTGTAATGCTGTGCAGCCAAGGGAGGTGTGTGGGTCAGAGCAGTCCACTGGCTGCCACTCTCTGACCTTGGCCACTACTACTTGACTTTGGTAGCTTTTTAACATCAAATGCAAAACTTAAGTCTTTACCAGGCTTGCCTGGGCAATGTACTCGGTGGGTTATATACCCAGGGACTCTGGGAGCTTTTGTTTCTTTTTTCAAGATTGGTTTTTGAAAGATTTACAAAGAAAAGAAGACAGAAATCTTCCATCCTCTAGTTCTGAAGCTGGAAGCCAGGAGCGTCTTCCAGGTCCCCCACATGGGTGCAGGGGCCCAAGGGCTTGAGTCATCCACCACTGCTTTCCCAGGCCTTAAGCAGAGAGCTGGATGAGAAGTAGAGCAGCCTGGACTAGATTCAGTGGCCATACGGGATGCTGGCACTAAAAGATGGATGATTAGCCTGTTGAGCCACCATGCCGCCCCATGAGAGCTTTAAAGGCACAAACCAAAAATCCCATTATGTGATACTTTTGCCTGAAAGAACTGAAAAAGCACAAAGCATTGCAATCTATGTGGCTCTTAATCTGGACAGAGGTTTTGTTTGAGCCTAGTATCAGGCAGCCTTGCTGCTAAAGCCACAGATTCCCAGTTGTTCTCTGATAGCCCCGCCATTCAGCAGAAGCTAGAGAAGAAACAAGAGTGGCCTTTCATTGTTTCATAAAGTAGGGTATTGTGGCCCAGCTCAAGATGGGTACGATGGGAATGATGGGACTCACTGATGGTAATGATGTTCCTGGGATAGTAATCTCCGTAATCTTAACTGATATTTGGACAATTGCGTATTCTCCCATTTCATAAGCCTAGCTCTCATTTTCTCTTATAAGATTTAAGTATTTATTTGAAAAGCAGACTTAGAGTGAAGGAGAGGGATGCAGCGCTCTTCAGTCCACTGGTTTGCAGCCAGCCTGAGGCCAGGCCAAAGTCAGGGGTAAAGTTTCTTCCAGGTCTCCCACATGGGTAGCAAGAACCCAGATGCTTAGGCCATCCTCTGCTGTTTTCCCAGGTGCATTAGCAGAGGGCTGGGTTGGAAATGGAGCAACTGGGACATGAACTTGGTGCCTATATAGGATGCTGATGGTGGCTAACTTGATATGCCACACGCCAGAATTTTTAAATTTACCCCAAAATTATTGAGGACCTAATATGCTAGGCAATTCTCTATATAAAAAGGGGCCCTTCCATTTTTACTATCTACAATAGAAGTTGATAAATCAAGGGCATGTAGCACTTCAATATGCAATAGCTTTGAGGGAAGATTTTACTGCCTCATTTAAGAAGTTATTCTGGGCCCGGCGTGATAGCGTAGTGGTTATAGTCCTCACCTTGCATTCACCAGGATCCCATATGGATGCCACTTCTAATTCCAGTGGCCCTGCTTCCCATCCAGCTCCCTGCTTGTGGCCTGGGAAAGCAGTCAAGGACGGCCCAAAACCTTGGGACCCTGTACCCGTGTAGGAGACCCAGAAGAGCTCCTGGCTCCTTGCTTCGTAATGGCTCAGCTCCAGCCATTGTGGTCACTTGGGGAGTGAACCATTGGATGAAAGATCTTCCTCTCTCTCTCTCTCCTCTTTGTATATCTTGTCTTTCCAATAAAAATAAATCTTTTCTTAAAAAGTTATTCCACCTGATCTAAAAGAGTACTAGTAACAGCTGAAAACAGGTTTTTTCCTTTCTGTTCCTCTTTTCCCCGACACATGAAATCCATTAGGAAAGAACAAGTAAACCTCCTCTGTAATGTACATAAATATGTTTCCTTTATTATACAAGACACCGTGGGGAGGGCTGAGTGTGTGCTAGCGCCCTAACCTCACATACTTGCAGTGGCTTTTGGCCAGGCCCATGCACCAGGGAGACTAGGCATAGACTAATATCTTTTCTAAGAGTTCCCATCTGGGCAAACCCTGGTTCTCTGCCACCAACTTGGCCTAATCCTCCAACTGGCTGTAAGAGCAGGAAGGGTTAACAGGGAGTCACACATGCTAGTGGCCACAAGATGCAGGCACTCCACTAGCACAAACCACAGATCAGGCTTCCAAGAAGAACTGCTTTAATGTCACCTGCTCGCCAGTCTTCCAGGTCTTCACCCGCCTTGCTTAGGGCCAGGCCAGAAGGCACAGCAGCCCTACTACTTGGTCACTGAGTGGGAAGCTGCAGCTTCCTTCTACCTCCTGCTGCTGTGCAGTGCAGCTCTGCTCAGCCTAGCTCTGCAGGCATATCTGGGGTTGGGGGTTTGGGAGAGGTTTTGCTTGTTTCTGCTTAGCATCGAGCCAGTCTCTTTCTGTTCATGGCCACCACAAAGCAGCTGAGCCTCGGAGGAGGCTGCACTGTCGGCTGCCATTCAGCCATAATGCTTCCTCGGAGGGGGAGGGCGGCACTTGATGGTCTTACACTTGGGCACATGTCGCTCAGCCACCTTGGGGGCAAAGCGGCGGCTGCAGTGAGGACACTGGATGTAGTCTGGGTTTTCCACAGGTGGGATGGGAGGCAAGTCGGAGGGGTTGCCACCTTTGGCGATGACCTGCTGGGCCTCTCGTGCCTGGCGCAGGGTCTGGATGAAACACTCGTGCTTCTGTCTCCAGTTGCTCTTCCGCGGAGCTTCGGGCTGCAACGTAAAAGGGAAGGTTGATCATTCACCTCACCCTGTGTCTCCTCCTTCGCAGGGACGGGAAGGCTATAAGGGTATCACAGGTGGGGGAGAACAGGAGACAGCATGGTGACAGCGGACCTGCCATGGTGGAGGCAGTGACAACAGGGCCCCGGAAGAGGGCGCTAGAGAAACTCCAGCCGTCCTTCCCAGGGGGGCCGCTGAGAGAGCCGGTGCTGGGAGGGAGGTACCGGATCACAGGGGTGGGAGGGGCAGCGCAAAAAAGCCCTCCGTGTCAGGCGTCCTACACCTGCGCACACAGGACAGGGGCTTATTCCCTGTAGAAATGGAACCACTTAGGTTTCAGACTCAGGAAATCTAGACACAGTGGATCAAGTGCTTTGGGTCCCTGCCACCCACGTGGGAGACCAAGATGGAGTTTCTGGCTCTTGGCTTCAGCCCGGCCGTTGTAGTTACTTGGGGAGTGAATCAGCAGAAGGCAGATCTCTCTTAGTGTAACTCTGCTTTTCAAGTAAATACATAAACCTTAAATAACAACCTGTATGTCCCCTCCCCTCAGCCTTCCTCCTTTTGATACAAAAAAATGTTCTTAAAAATGAACAGATGTTTGATATCAGGTGGATATGTAGAGAATGCAGGGAATGAAAACTAAGTCAATTATTAACTCCAGATAGATGTGAGCAAGGGCACAATTTATTCATTCATCAGTGAACAGAATTAATATGATCATTGAAATGTAAAAGCTGACACTCCAGATTCAACTAGAGTGGGAAGATAAGGCTGGAGAAAAATAAGAGGAGACAGGACATGAAAGCTTCGTCCACAGCCTCCTTAAGAGGGAGTTTCCAGATAAGGTACAAAATGGAAAAATGCAGAAAATGAACAGATTATTTGGAAATAGGGAAATTATACCAGTAGAACCCATAACAACTCAACACAACCTCCAGGGTCTTATACTTGCAGGTCATTTAGTGCCTCGTGGTTTTAAAAATGCATGCAAGGGCCCAACACAGTAGCCTACTGGCTAAAGTCCTAACTTTGCATCTGCCAGGATCCCATATGGGCATCCGTTCATGTCCTGGCAGCTCCACTTTCCTCCCAGCTCCCTGCCTGTAACCTGCGAAGGCAGTAGACAATGGCCCAAAGCCTTGGGACCGTACACCCATGTGAGAGACCCAGCAGACCAGGAGCTCCTGGCTCCTGGCTTCAGATCAGCTCAGCTCCAACTGTTGTGGCCACTTGGGGAGTGCAAATCAGTGGATGAGAAAGATCTTAATGCACTACCATCATTAAAGATGCTAACAGGAAGAGATCCTATCAAAGGAAAAGGATCAGTCCATCAGGTGAGGTGCCTCCTGAAACAGATTAAGAAAATCAGTGTTGGAGATGCTATGAGGAAAACTACGGAAATTGTATTCAACATGTTCAGCTCAAAGCACAGAGATGTAGGCCCTGCCTTTAAATGTTTATAGTTGGGGCCCAGCAGTGTGGCTCAACAGGCTAATCCTCCCTCTTCAAGGACCAGGATCCTCCATATGGACAACCAGTTTGTCCTGGCTGCTCCACTTCCCATCCAGCTGCCTGCTTGTGGCCTGAGAAAGCAGTTGAGGATGGCCCAAAGCCTTGGAACCCTGTACCTTCGTGGGAGACCTGGGAGATGCTCCTGGCTTCAGAGTAGTTCAGCCCTGGCCATTACAGCCACTTGGGGAGACAGAAGATCTTTCTGTCTCTCCTCTCTATACAGCTACCTTCCCAATAAGTCAGGTGGGGGGACAAAGACACCTGCAAGATCACACCAGAGGAACGACAGGGCCAAAGCACCACTCAGCTTCCCAAAGCACAGAGTTCTGGGATAAACCTTGAGGCACCCCTGGAGAATGGGGGTTCCTCTCAATCCAAATCCTCTCTGCAGCCTCCATGCAACAAAGTACCCCTTCCCCCCAACACACATACACACTAACTTCCACAGGGCAGCTGATCTCAGATCTCACCTATTCTTTTTTTTTGCACTGTTTCTATAGTTAGGATTTTTTTTTTTAAAGATTTACTTATTTTTATTTCAAAGTCAGATATACAGAGAGGAAGAGAGACTGTTGATTCACTCCCCAAGTGGCTGCAACAGCCACAGCTGCGCTGATCCAAAGCCTGAAGCCCAGAGCCTCTTCCAGGTCTCCCCACGTAGACTCAGGGTCCCAGGGCTTTGGGTCGTCCTCAACTGCTTTCCCAGGCCACAAGCAGGGAGCTGGATGGGAAGTGGAGCTGCCAGGATTAAAGTTGGCGCCCATATCGGATCCCGGGCATGCAAGGTAAGGACTTTAGCTGCTAGGCTACCATGCCAGGTCTCATAGTTAGGAATTTAAGAAACAAGATTCTTTTAGGTTCTGACTGAATATAAACCACTGTAGCAGGAAAGAGGGAATCCTCCGTGGATTATTGGGCTGACCAGAAAGAAAACAGGAAGAGAACAGTAACTCCCCACCCTATCATTATCTGTCAGATCAACATGTTGACTTCTCGTTGGGAACTAGACTCCAGGGAAATTGTCAGTGAACACAGAAGGGACTTTTCTCATCATCTCCCTAAACTCTTAGCGAAAGAAACTCTAAATCACTAATCCTAAAAGCCCTTAAATTAATATGAGTGGTTCCACACTGCAGCAGAAGCTGGCAAGATCCCTGTTACCTGGACTGAAGTCTGTCCCTTCCAGTTCAAGTACTGTTCTAGCTCTGTGCCTTTGGCCCGGGCCCTGCAGGAGTCGAACACCTTCCTCTTGGCACCTTGCATCCGGCTACAGACGTTGGAGTGTCTCTGCAGCCTTGAGAGCAGAAAGGTGCGTCCACAGTGGTCACACTTGCCCAGAGCCAGCTCTTGGGTGGAACAGCCGGAACCTGCTGAGCCTGGGGCCCTGTGCGGGTTGGGATTAGGGCTGTTTCTCTGGTCAGGCACTTCCGATGGCTGACAGCACTTCTCTGATGTCCCTGAGATGCCATCTTTGGGTTTGGTATTGCTTGCCACCAGCCTCTCCCTCTTCAGCCTCTGCAGTCCATGACTCGAGTACTGGAATGGATTACAATTTTCTTGAGACCATGCCCAGGTTTCGTCCTCTCTTCTATCTCTGCTGGGCACCTCCTCAGACTCAAATTCCGAGGGGAAGAGGGGATGGCGTGTAGGGTGGCCACCACTGCCCTGCACTCTCTGCCTGGGGAGGAGTGTCCTCTGGAGGTCCCAGGGGTCATTTTCCTCAGTCCCTTCCCTTTCCTTCTGGATCCTCCTAAGCTCCTGCTCGGTCTTCTTCAGCTTGTTCCTCAGGAGGATCTCCTTTCTTCGGATCTCCTCCTCTAAGCTCTCCCCTAGCGCTTCCAGCCTTTGAATCTGCGCCCACTCACTCCTGCCAAGGTTTGCCACGGCCTTCTCACCCTGTACCGCAGCCAGAACGGCACCAACCACGGAGACATTCGGACAGTTCCTGGAAGCCAAGCAGCTGTATGGCGCAGGGGACCTTGCGTAGGCATGCTGGTTCCCATCAGGACTGGCCTCGCCTGTACTGTGAGACTTCCGGTGGACCATGGGCTTCAGTGGGTAGGCCCGGTCCACCCCAACTCGCTTCTTCCCAAAGGGATTCAAGTCTTGGTTAGTTGCTTTGGGACGCCAGGATGCATGGCCTGATGCATTCCATAACCCCTTGCCTTGGTCCTGGGGGTCGCTTCTGGAGTCTCGCTGGCCGATGTACACATGGCGAAGATAGGAGTCGCTCTGGGCTTTGGTGCAGGTGTCCTGTGTGGAGTGAGTAGCAAGAGCTTCCTGTGGCAGCTCCTGGCTGCTCAAAAGCTTCTTCTGGAAACTGTGCCTCGGATGCCCCGTGGAAGACTGCTGGGCAGTGTCACCTTGCTCATAAGGGTCCTGCTTGGCAGAGCGGAGCCCTGCAGCTTCTGTTTTATTATGTGGGAACATGACGCCCACGGGCAGATGTGGAGCCAACTGGAGGCCAGCCATTCAGGGCTTGGATGGAAGCCTACGGGAGATTTAAACCAGATACTTGTGCAGAGTTTGTCTGAGGTTCACCCCTGGCTGCTAAAGTAAACTGTTGCTACATTCTCCCTACTCACATTTCCCTTCAACTCTTCTAGGGACATGGTGCTGGGTCCACCAGGGCTCTTTCCTTCCAGACGCCCTGGGTGAGTGCGGGCCATGAGCTACAAGAGGTCGGGCCCAGAGGAGGGTCAAACCAAAACAACCCAGGTATGCCTTTCTGCCAGGACCCAGCTCTTGCCACTCACAATCTACTCCCTCTTGAAGGGGGAAGAACCCCGATGGAGAGAAAGTTACTAGGCTTGGGGAAACCCGCAGCTTCCCACTGCCGGCCCCAGGACTAAACCTGTGGACCCAAGGGTTCACACCATGGCCAAGCCCACCACCTCACAGGTGAGGAAACTGACACAGACCTTGTCCTAGGGGCCCCCCTGGACACAGGCAGTGGGTGGCCGGAAACTGAGAAATAGGGGGCTAAAAGGGTCGCTTTTAGAACCGGAACACGGAAGTTCTGTCCTGGGGCAGTCAACCAGCGCACCCCCTCCAGTAAGGTGAGGATCTGGGGGAATAAAGTCCTTACTCCCCTGCTCCTCAGGCCCCTAGGAGGTCCTGGTATGAACCCCATGACTCCCCCACAGCCTTCTGCCTACCTCAGGCTCTCAGGGAACCGCTCTTTCTCAGTGGGAAAACCCCAGAACCTCCTTTTCCAAATCTGGCCTCCCCAACCGACGGCCACGCAGGCGCTCTCAGCGGACTTCTGTTATTCCCGTTGCCTGGAAACGAGAGCGCAGCGCGCCCCGAGCCCCGCCCACTGTTATTGGGAGAGCCGAGGCGCGCGCAGGCGCAGTCCGCGCGCCATCCTGGGCAGCCCGAGCTGGGCAGGCGGGGATGGGGAGGAGGGGGTGCGGTCCAGCTTGAGTGTTGTCACTTGACCCTGTGTCCAGCCAACTCTGCAGCTCAGTACAGCCCTGCCCTTGGGGAACGGGGGGAGGAGGTGGGAGCGGCTTTTCTGGGGCTCCATCAAAGAACTTGTATTTTTCTGAGCACAATGCTCCCAGGCCCCGGGGTGTGCCCGTCTCGGGCGAAGGGCGGAGCCCCTCGCTGTGCCCCGGCGTCCTCGCGTCTCTGGATCCTGAGGTCCGCCTGCTTGGCGGGAGCAGGCCTGCTGATAGCCCTTCTTATACAGGCCTCAGGTATGGCTGTGTGCTGTGCTTTGTCTTACCAGCCTTGGGAGCTTGCGGTCCATTTTTTTTTTTTTTTTTTCTCCTACACAGTATGTCTCCGGGGTCGATTTCTTGGCCAATCTAATTATTTTGATATTGTAAATGTGTGGTTGTCACGTGGTAGCTGACCCTGTCTCCTCAGGACCTGGGGATGACTCAGCCAAATATAATGATCATGAGGTTAACATGCCAGATTGAAAATAATCAGGATAACTGGTTTCAACACTAAATGATACTCTGCGACTTGTTGACATCAGAAGAGAGTTTATTTGTCTTCTTCATGCTTCGGTTCGTTTTGTGTAAGCTGTTTGGAACCGGCAGCTCGTTTTTTTTTTTCCTGTAACTACTCAAAAGACTCATGCACATGGAAAATCGTGTAGACGGCAGGAGTCAGTGTGACTGCTTCAGCAGATCCGCTTACAGCTTTTACTTGTTACAGAGAAATGCTTTGGTGGGCCCTCCAGGGCAGTCTGTAATTCCTTGTTTTCATTCCTAGTAGACTAGACTGCCTTCTCAATATACAAGGGTACTTCCAAAAGTTTATGGGAAATAGATTTAAAAGTTTATTTCGCTGCAAAAAAAAAAAATTGACATCTATGCATGCAAGAGGTCGTCAAAAAAAAGTTCATGGAAATGTGTATTATGAAAAAACTGCATGCCTATTTTGGACTAAGATCAACTTCATCTTTTAATTCCATTTTTCCACAAACTTATTTAAAGTTCACAGCTCCAGATGTTTCCCAGCTAGGTCAGACCCTGACCTTCTTTAATCAACTCCTTCGGTTTTTCTCTGGCTGAACTTCCCAGGGTGCCTCCCTGTCTCTTGACGTCCTTCCCTGCGGTTTCTGAGGAAGAGGTCCTCTCTGTGAGTTGTGCTGAATGGGTCCCTGTCAGGACCCTCCAGGAGCTGACTCCCATCGCTTCTCCCGCCTCCTTCCTGGTAACTTCAAGTTGTACATCTGCAGGCTCCTTCTTTTGGGTTCTGAAGAATGCCTAACGTTCCCTTGACCTCCCACCTCTTGAACCCTTCCCCATCCCAACTCACTTCTTTTCTGCTCTGCAAGATTTAATTTACAAACTATTTGCTGCCCCATTCCCTCATCCCCTCCTCAGCGTCCCGAGGTCGTGATGATCCTCTGTAACCAACTGCAAGGCAGGTGACCTTCCAGGGACCAAAGACATAAATTCTCCAGGATACGCACTTGACATTACTGAGTACCGAACCTTTTAGAACTCTGTGCTTACTGCTGCGACCTCCTGTTCTCTTCTTTCATACCTCAGCTCTGTCTTCTCGACCTTTGGCACTTAGATCAATTTATAGGGTCTCCTAATCCCTCTTACTTCTCATATCTGCACTTGCAGATACATTTTTTAAATGATCTCAACCAAATCTGATGTTTCAGATTTCACCTGTATGTAGATGCTTAACTCTGACTCTGCTTAGTTACAGACCCAAGTCTGCCCAGGTGGCATTGTGATGCAGTGAATTAAGTAGCTGCCTGTGGAACAAGCATCCCATACTGGCACTGGTTCAAGTCCCAGCTGCTCTACCTCTGATACAATTCCCCCCGCTAATGCTCCTGGGAAAGCACTGGAAGATGGCCCAAGGGTCTGGGCCCTTGCCACCCACATGGAGACTGGATGAAGTCCCAGGCTCCTGGCTTCTGTTGTGGCCATCTGGGGAATGAACCAGTAGATGGAAGAGTTTTCTCTTTCTCTCTCTCTTGATTGCACTGCCTTTCCAATAAGCCTATTTTTTAAAAGATTTATTTTATTTTTGTTGCAAAGTCAGACACACAGAAAGGAGGAGAGGCAGAAGAAGATCATCCACCCGCTGATTTACACCCTATGTGGCCATAACAGCCAGTGCTGCAGTGATCCGAAGCCAGGAGCCAGGAACCTCCTCCAGGTCTCCCACACGGGTGCAGGGTCCCAAGACTTTAGGCTGCCCTCAACTGCTTTCCCAGGCCACAAGAAGGCAGCTGAATGGGAAGTGGGGCTGCCGGGATTAGAACTGGTGCTCATGTGGGATCCTGGGGTGTTCAAGGTGAGGACTTTAGCCGCTAGGCCACGCCGCCAGGCCCTCTTCTTTCTTATAGAATAAAGTCTCAACACACAATTTATCATATAAATTCCCAAGAATAGGTCCAACCACATTTTTTTTTAATATTTATTTATTTTATTGGAAAGGCAGATACACAGAGAGGAGGAGAGGCAGAGAGGAAGATCTTCCGTCTGATGATTCACTCCCCAAAGTGAGCGCAATGGCTGGTGCTGTGCCATTCCGAAGCCAGTAGCCAGGAGCTTCTTCCGGGTCTCCCACACAGGTGCAGGGTTCCAATGCTTTTTTGGGTCGTCCTCGACTGCCCTCCCAGGCCACAAGCAGTGAGCTGGATGGGAAGTAGAGCTGCCAGGATTAGAACCGGTACCCACATGGGACCCCGGTGCATTCAAGGTGAGGACCTTAACCATTACGCCACAGTGCTGGGCCCAGCCACATTTTTCATCCCTTCCTCCCCTTCACCCTGGGGCTAACCCAGTTGGTCTCATTAAGGTTTCCTGGAGGACCTGGTGCGGTTGCCTAGTGGCTAAAGTCTTCGCCTTACATGCACCAGGATCCCATATGGGTGCTGGTTCTAATCCCCACAGCCCTGCTTCCCATGCAGCTCCCTGCTTGTGGCCTGGGAAGGCAATAGAGGACAGCCCAAAGCCCTGTGACCTTGCACCCATGTGAGAGACCTGGAAGAAGATCTGTGCTCCTGGCTTCAGATCGGCGCAGCTCTGGTCATTGCAGCCACTTGCGGGCTGAATCATCGGATGGAAGGTCTGTCTGTCCTCCTCTCTGTATATCTGACTTTCCAATAAAATTAAATAAATCCTTAAAAAGAAAAAAAAATGGTTACTACCTGGAATGCAATATCGGGATGAGGACTAGGCATTAATGTTTTTGAAAGCTTCCCTGAGGGTGAACCAGGGTTGAGAACACATGGTCTAACCTAAATTGATTGCTCCTGCTTTCTCACCTCTGTAGTCCTTAGTACTGCTGTTTTCTTACCTCAGTGGCTCCAGGTACTGGGAGGTGGCTGAACATGGCATTTATGGGCGTCGATGCTGGACTCACTGCCCAGAACTGAATCCCAATTCGCTCACTTCCTGATTGTGGTTGTGTAAAGGGCTCCTCCAAGAGCCCTTTCCCAATCTTCCCAGTCGGAACTAATCTCTGTTCTTTCATCTTTTCTGTTGTTGTGGAAACACAGGACTCCTTCCTGATGAGCTTCCCATGGGTATTGATGGGATTAGATTATCATGTACACTGGTTTGGTCAGTATTTGCATTCACATCTGTCTTTTACAATAAATTAAAAACTTTGAGAGCCAAAGTTATCATTCATCTTTGTAATGCCTACAGTGTCCTATACATATTAACTAATGGCATCAATACATTTTTGTATTCTATAAGGCAATTTTTTAAAAGAGTGTTATAGAGACCGCATTCTGACACAGCTGTTAATCCACAACCTGCCTTGCCAGATTCCCATATCAGGCAGTTTGTTCAGATTCCAGTTGCAGGCCCACCGCCATGGCCTAGCAGCTAGAGTCCTCACCTTGAACGTGCCAGGATCCCATATGGGCGCCAGTTCTAATCCCGGCAGCTCCACTTCCCATCAAGCTCCCTGCTTGTGGCCTGGGAAGGTGGTTGAGGACGCCCAGTGCTTTAGGATCCTGCACCCACATGGGAGACCTGGAGGAAGTTCCTGGATCCTGGCTCCGGATCGGCATAGCATCGGCCGTTGCGCTCACTTGGGGAGTGAATCATTGGACGGAAGATCTTCCTCTCTCTCTCTCCTCCTCTCTGTGTATCTGACTTTGTAATAAAAATAAATCTTTAAAAAAAAAATTCCAGTTGCTCCACCTTCCATCTATATCCCTGCTAACGTGCATGGGAAGGCAATTGAAGATGACCCCAAGTACTCGGACCACTGCCACCAGGTAGGTGACCCTGATGGAGTTCCTAACTCCTCACTTGTGCTTGGCCCAGTCCTGACAATCTGGGCAGGGAACCAAAGGATGAAAGAATTCTGTCTCTGTGACTCTTTCAAATAAATATATAAAACTTTTACAAATTAATTTTCTAGAAAGAAAATAACATCAGCCTTATTTCCAAATATTGTCAGGTGCAAAATTCAGTCCACACACTTCCCTCCACCCCTGCACTCAACTGTTGTGATTCTCTGGGATCTGGAGCCTCTCTCTAGTGAGGAAACAGGGAAATGATGCATTTCCATACAACCATGGCAGACCCATCCCACTAAGCCAAGTCTGCCAACCTGGTATATTCACATATGGAGTCCTAGGTTATGCCACAATAGAATGTATGCCAAAAAATCAAAAAGGAACCCTAAACGTCGCATTTCCCCCCCCTCTACACACATTCTTTTTGAAAAATATTTGAATGGAAGAACAATGTAGAAATGAGAAGTTTTCCATCTGCCAGTTCATGTCCAAATGGTCAAAGCAAGATCTCCATCCTGCTGTCACATGTGGGCACCACGGGCCCAACACTTGGCCCATTCTCGGCTGCCCTCCCAAGCTCAGAAGCAGAGCATCTGGGAGTGACACCTGCAATGCCAATACCAGGTACCTACACTGCAAGGCCAGGCTCTAGCAGCCATGCCACAACGCCTGCTCCGCAGACATGCTTAATCACAGGATGTCTCCAAGCCAATTCTAATTTAATGATTATCCTGCCACAAACTTCCCGCCCCTGATCATTCTCTTCTAACAAAACTGGATTCCTGCAGATGTGGTCATTTGGCTTCATTGGCTGGTTGTACTATGATTATGAAGCTGTACCTGCTTCCTGCTTATGTGTTGGTTCAGATAGTGAAGCATTATTTTGTATTTTCTTAGTAAGATAGCTCTGGTTAGGTAACTTTCAGAAACCTACAAGAAAATAACATCCGCTGGCATCAGGCTACCAATTCTAGCTTAGGCACGACCCCAAATTTGAGGAGAATTGCAAGAAAAAAGATTGTGTCCTAGTCATTGAATTTACTCAGTGATGCTCAATGTTGATTGTCGGGTACCTTGTACATCAGCACACAACAGGCCGTCTGTCTGGACTGCTTGAATGTATCCCCGGTGTTTCTTCCTGCCTGCTTTGAGGGGTGCGTTTAGCGATACTGTTGAGACGAGGGCTCAATCTGTGGGGGTCCAGCCGGACCCTGGACAGATCCCGAACGCGAGGCTCATTGGGCTGCCTTATTATGCCGTCATGAAGTTCCGCCTTATGGGCGGGCTCAGAGCCGCTTAGATCCTTGTGATTGGTTAATAGAGCCTTGAGGGGCAAGGTGCGACTGTGGCGCCTCACGCTGCACTTCCGGACGCGGCGGTTAGCGCCACTTAGGGAGCCGTTGGGAAGGTGGTAGCTCTCGCGCGTTGGTGATCCGCACCCTGAAGGGGCAGTTCAGGAGGGTGAGCCCGGGAGGGGCCCCCCGTCAGGTTGATTAACCCTAAAATAGTGGCTGAAGGTTGACAGCCATGTGGGGAGGGAGCGAGACCGGCATTGGTGTAAGCGGGCAATGAAGTGAGCCTGGCATTGTCCCCAAAGGAGACCTCCGGAGGTCGTCCTAACCCGCAGCTCCCACGCCCAGGTGACATACGGTGGGCCGGTCACTCCCTGAGCTCTTTGAGTTCTTTGAGCTGAGAGACTTTGAGGTCGGGGAGAGGTGGTCGTGGAAGGAAGCAGGTGCCCTGGGCCCTTTCCTACCCCGGGTGGGGTGGCGAGTGACGTCCCTGGAATAATAGGCCTTTACGTTTCTGCTTTCCCCATCTCTGACAGGTTTGAGTATGGCGGAAGGGGACAGCTTGGTATCAGTGGATTATGAAGTGTTTGGGAAGGTGCAAGGGGTGTTTTTCCGCAAGTATACCCAGGTATGTGGCCTTGAGGTTGTGGGGATCTGCTATCACCTGATACCTGGACATTGGAAGAAGCTGTTGCTTTGCAAAGTGCCTGGCCAGGAGGCAGTTTGTACAGGGAATGAAAATGGTTTGCAGTTTAGTTTAAAAAAAAAAAAAGATAAGATCATGTGAATGGAACATGCTGATATTCTTCGGCTTTTTCTAATGGGTCTCTGAGTGCCTAGACCCCCATGAGAGAGATCTTGCTTCTTTCAAAGAAGGTCGAGGGCTTCCCCAGGTTTCCCTGGTGTGACGTCATCAAACTCAGTAGCCCCTGGAAGAGATCTATCACTGATCTGAGAGATGACGTTAAGGTGAATTGGTGGTGATGATGTAAAAACATTAATGGCTTCCTCCACAACCGCTTCTTTCTCTAACCTTCTCTAGACTCCCACTTTGATTCCTTCCGATTGTTCTAGGCTTTGAAAGAACATTTCTCTTTTTAATAGCTTATATTTTTCTAGTTTAAAATCCATTTCAGAGGCCTGGCGCGCTACCCTAGTGGCTAAAGTCCTTGCCCTGAACGTGCCAGCTCCCATATGGGTGCCGGTTCTAATCCCAGCGGTCCTACTTCCCAGCCAGTTCCCTGCTTGTGGCCTGGGAGGGCAGTCGAGGATGACTCAAAGCTTTGGGACCCTGCACCTGCGTGGGAGACCCGGAAGAAGCTCCAGGCTCCTGGCTTTGGATTGGCTCAGCTCCAGCTGTTGTGGCCGCTTGGGGAGTGAACCATCTGGCGGAAGATCTTCCCCTCTGCCTCTCCTCTCTGTGTATCTGCCTTTCCACTAAAATAAATAAATAAAAAAATTTTTTTTAAAAATCCATTTCAGAAAGAGCAAGGAGGAGCATTGAGTGTGGAGTTTGGGATACTGTCAGGATAGTGAGTATTTGAAGGAATGAATAAATTGTGGCCATCTCTACTCCTGCCTCAGAGTCCCTCATCTTCCCTTGACCTGCCCACACGAAATGCACTCTTATTTCTTCTTCTGCCTTGTGTGCAGGCTGTGTGTGTACCTGCAATGCCACAGGTAGTGAGTGAGGGTTGCTCCTGCAACTGTGGGACTTTGAATTCAAACCTGATACTTTGAAGTATGAATAGTAATGATCAACCCCACCCTTTTATCCCCAATTATTTGTAAGTCATTTCTTCCTCTTTGAAAGCATTACATATGAAGCACTTACTGAGAAAAGAATTACTGAAGATGGAGCCATGTTCCAGTTAGTTCTGCTGCCAGTTACACAGGGCAGATTCCTGTAACTTAGAGCAGACAGCTTCCAAGAGGAATGAGTTGAGGAAAAAGGACCAGATGGTGGTATAACCTACCTTTCTCTATCCACCTGTCCCCCACTTCCCAGTTCAAAGAATAAAAACATACAGAAAAACCTAATTGGCTTTGAAAAACAAGTTGCCATTTTGTCTTCATTAGACTGGGAGCATATTTACTATTTATAGTCATTTAAGCGTATATGTTATTTTTTTTTAAGATTGTATTTTTATTGCAAAGTCAGATATACAGGGAGGATGAGAGACAAAGATCTTCTGTCTGTTGATTCACTCCCCAAGCAGCAGCAATGGCTGGAGCTGAACTTTTTTGAAGCCAGGAGCCCAGAGCCTCTTCTGGGTCTCCCACATGGATTCAGGGTCCCAAGGCTTTGGGCCGTCCTCAACTGCTTTCCCAGGTCACAAGCCGGGAGCGGGATGGGCAGTGGAGCTGCCAGGATTAGAACCAGTAACCATATGGAATCCTGGCACATTCAAGGCAAGGACTTTAGCTGCTAGGCCATCATGCTGGGCCCTGTTTTGACCATTTTTAAACACACAGTTCAGTGACCTTAAATATGTTCACACGTTGTTGTATTACCATCTTCAGCACCCCTCCACAGAGCTTTCTCTGGGGAAAACAGAACTATACCTGTCAAGCACTAATTTCCCATTCTCCCTTCCTCCCAGCCTCTGGCCATCAGGACTGTCTTTATGAATTCAGCTGTTACAGGAAATTCAAAAGTGGAATCATACGGTGTTTGTCCTTTTGTGACATGTTTATTTTTCACAAAATGTCCCTAAGCTTCATCTATGTTATATCATGTGTCAGAGCCTCCTTCCTAAATAATATTTTGTTGTGTATACTCTCAATGTGGTTTTCATTTGTCTTCTAATGATAATGCTGAGCATCTTTTCATGTGCTTATTATTAGCACATGGAAGAAGATTCCATATACCTTTTTTGGAAAAACTTCCATTCAAACACACAGCTCCTTTTTAAGAAGTTATTTAGTTGACAGAGAGGCAGATGAGAGAGAGCTCATATCAGCTAGTTGGTCTACTCCCCAAATGCTGAGAGTAGCCAGGGCTGGGGATTAGCCAAAGTGGGGGCTGGGAACTCAATTCAGATCTTCTACAAGGGTGGCAGTGACCCAAGTATTTGAGCTACCATCTGCTTCCTCCCAAGATTCCCGTCAGCAGGAAGTGGAGCTGGGACCCAAACCCAGGCACTCTGATGTGGAGTTGAACCTCCCAGTTGACATTTTCACTATAGACCAAATATGCATTCCTCATTTTTGGAATTCTCATTTTTTTTTTCTCATTTCATTGATTTAAAAGGCAGAGAGACACAAAGAAACACAACAGAGATCTTCCATTCCTGGTTCACTCCCTAATTTGCCTGAGTCAGGTTGAAGCAGGGAGCTCAGAAAATCTAGGCAGTAGGGACCCAGGTACTTGGGCCGTCATCTGCTGCCTGCCAGGGTGTGCGTTAGCAGGAAGCCCAATCAGAAGCAGATGAGGCAGGTTCACACCAGACACTGACAGGGGATCCAGGTGTTGCAAGCTCCACTGGAACCACTGCACCAAACAGATACCTCTCATTTTTAATTATTTGTATTTTTGCTGTTTTAAGAACATTTTGTATATCCCTACTATTCCCTTATTAGATGTGTGATTTACAACTGTTTCATTGCTTTTTCACTTTTGTGATAGTATTCTTTGAAGTACAAAAGTTTTTAATTTTTGTGAAATCTGATTTAGCTAGGTTTTTGCTTTTGCTTTGTATATGCTTAGCGTTATATCTAAGCAAGCCTAATTCCAAGTCATGCTATGGTTTCTCATAAAAGCTTCTTCTAAGAGTTTCATGGTTTCACTTCTTAAATTTATGTCTTTGATCCGGTTTGAGTGAATTTTTATGTGGTATTTGGTAAGAAGTCTAGCTTCATTCTTTTGCATGTCCATATCCAGCTGTCCTAGCAGTATTTGTTAAGAAATATTATTATTCCCTCTGTTGATTTGTCATGGCAACCTTGTCAAAAATCAGTTGACCATCAATTTAAGGTTTATTTCTGAACTCTCAGTTCTAGTTCATTGACCTATATATCTATCCTTACGCCAGAACCACCCTCTCTCTAGCTTTATGTAATGCTTTATGTAATGAGTTTTGAAGTCAAACTGAGTCATCCAATAGTGCTCTTTCTTTTTCAAATTATTTTTAGTTTGAAACTCTGAGTTCCTTATATTTGTGTATGAGTTTAAGGTCAATCTGTCAATTTCTGCAAAAAAAAAAAAATGACCTGAGCTTTTGATAAGGATTACACTGAATCTGTAGGTCAATCTGAGGAGTGCTATGACATGAACAACACTTAGTCTTGCAGTCCAGGAGCACGATGTAATTTCCCACTTAGTTACATCATTAATTACTTTCAGCAGTGTTTTGTAACTCTTTATGTAAATCCTAACCATTTTATGACTTTTTTTTTTTTAAGATTTACTAATTTTTTCAATGAGTTACAGAGAAAAGAGAGGGAGAGCAAAGAGAAGTCTTTGCTCTGCTGATTCACTCCCCAATGCTCACAAGTGGCTAGGGCGAGGCCAGTCTGAAGCCCAGGGCCAGGAACTCCATCCAGGTCTCCCATACAGATGACCAAAGCCCGAGGACTTGTTGCCATCATCTGCTGCCTCCCATATGCTTTATAAGAAGTTGGATTTGAAGTGGAGTGGGCAGGACCTGAACCAGCACTCTGATATTTGATGTAGGTATCCAAAGCACAGCTTAACCCTCTGCACTGCAAGGGCTGCCCAAGAATTGACTTTTTATTAAAATTTTACTTATTCGAGAGCACAAGTGAGAGAAAAGCCTCCACTCACTGCTTCATTTCCCACATGTCCACCACGGCTGGAACTGAGCTGGGCCCCAGCTGAAAAAAGCTGCAGATGGAAGCCAGGAGCTCAGTCCGGCATCCCTCCTTGGGTGGCTGGGACCAGGCCCACCATCCTCGAGGGGGCGTGAGTGTCCTACCCCGTGTCTTGACCACCAGGCCTGACACCTGCCTCTGAAGAACTATAAGTCTTACTGTCTTTATTACCCTATTTATTAGACTCTTTATACTCCTTTATATTTCCTTCTTTCTGCTTGTTTTGGATTTACTTTGCTCTCCAATTCTAGTGTTGTAGGTAGAATTCCTGGTATATTGATTTGAGAGAAATTTATTTTTAGAGTGTAACCAGCACCAAAAAAAGAAAAAAAAGAAGAAGAAGAAAAAGAAAGATGCTTATGAAGTAAAATTTTTTGAAATTTTCTTAGGAGAAAAAATACTTTTTACATGTTTAGATAGCTATTCAAAACTGAACATGAATGAGCAACATCAGAGTATAATTTGAAAAATAAGAACAGAATCAAGTTTAACGAAATCCTCAACACCAGTCAAAATGTTCGTGTTTTGTTCACTCTCAGGAGTCATATAAATCACACTGCCTTTTTAAAGATTTATTTGACAGCTGCACCCTCCTGCACAAAGCCAGCCAGCCATCCTTAAAGATGTTCCCCACATATGGTAATCTGAGAACTGGAGAGTGTCAAACCCCTGAGGTTAATTCAAAGCAGAAGAGTACAGTTGCTAAACAAAGTCATGTGGATGTGGAATATTCCTCAAAATCCAGTTTTGGCATTTTTTTTTAAGAATTACTTATTTTGGGGGCCCAGCGCGGTGGCGCAAGTGGTTAAGCCCTTGCCTTGCACGCCCGGGATCCCATATTGGCACCGGTTCTAGTCCTGGCGGCCCCGCTTCCCGAACAGCTCCCTGCCTGTAGCCCGGGAAAGCAGTCGAGGATGGCCTAGAGCTTTGGGACCCTGCACCCGCGTGGGAGACCCGGAAGAAGCTCCTGGCTTTGGATCGGCATAGCATCGGCTGTTGCGCTCACTTGGGGAGTGAATCATCGGACGGAAGATCTTACGCTCTGTCTCTCCTCTCTGTATATCCGCCTTTCCAATAAAAAAAAAAATAAAAATAAATCTTTAAAAAAAAAAAGAATTACTTATTTTTAATGGAAAGTCAAATATACAGAGAGGAGGAGAGAAAGAGAGGAAGATCTCTCCTCCACTGATTTATTCCCAAGTGGCCACAATGGCTGGAGCTGAGCCAATCCAAAGCCAGGAGCCAGAAGCTTCTTCCAGGTCTCCCACATGGATGCTGAGTCCCAAGGCTTTGGGCCATTCTCGACTGCTTTCCCAGGCCACAAGAAGCTGGAAGGGAAGTGGAACAGCCAGGATATGAACTGGTACCCATAGGGTTCCGGACACATGCAAGGCGTGGACCTTAGCTACTAGGCTATTGCGCTGAGCCCAGTCTTGGCATTTTTGTTTGATGTTTTCTTCTTTGGCACTTAGCAGTGCATGCTGTAGGTATCTTTTATTTTTCCTCATTCCTTAATTTTCCCTGTCCTTTAAGCTGCTATTTATTTGACTAAAGACTCTTGTGCATTATGCAAACCATGTCTGCTTTGAACATAACTGATTTGATGGATGCTTCAGTTCCTCATCAAACTTTTTTTTTTTCCTGTGCATAACATTTTCTTTGGCAAGCTCCAGCAATTTCCCACATTTACTAGGTCAGGATTCTGGCATTTGGACTTGCAATCATGTTAACTCCCATTTTCTTTTGTAATCCAACCCCTTCTATTTAGGTAGATTAAGAATCAGTGACTTCTATGATATCCTGGTTATATGTTTATAGAAAAATAAGATGACCCCTAATACAGTGCTGCATTTCCTCCATGGCCAGTCTTGCCACAGCTTAGTGCCTTAAAGAACGACTTAGAGTCACTATGTGGTCTTCATAAGCTTATTTAACTTTAAAGTCATGTTGATTATTTGGACAGAATCTAAAGAAAGATAAGTGAAAAACCTACTCGTCATGGAGTCTCATGGAAGTGCAGTGTTCAGAGGCTGATCAGCAGCTGCTCTCCTTCCCCAGCAGGCTGACAGAATGTGGGCTCTGGATGCAGGATAAACATATCCAGGAGACAGTTTCCCTACGGGGAGAACAATGGGGTGAGTTGCTAAGGAAGTTGTGAAAGACTCCCTAATGATCTTCAGAGATATAACGGACACTAACTCATCTGGATTTGTTTAGGTGTGGTCCTGGTTAAAGACAAAATGAAGGATCAGATAACTTCCTGCTTCCCCCCCCCCCCATTTTAATACACCCAACAGATTCTTGACTCAGGGAAAATGAGCAAGCTACAGCCCAGTATGCTCACAAAAATCAGCCTTAGAGAATCATTTTGAAAGCATCTGTTTTAAGCTCAGTCTTTTGTACTCAACCAAACTGACAATATAGTGAAAATTTGTAGGGCCTGGGTTTTACAGGGTAGAAGGAAATGGGAGCTAAGTGGCCAACACTTGATGTTAAGATCAGCAGTGAGATCCTCCTTGCTGTCTTTGTTTTGATTCCTGGACAATGTCAGCTTAGTTTCAGTGGCTTGGTTTTAGGCCAGGATCTGGCAACAGATTGTAGTCTCACTTTATTTTGTTCAATCTCATTGGATCTTTCTTTTTTTCTCTCTTTTTCGCCCCTAGGCTGAGGGTAAAAAGCTAGGACTGGTAGGCTGGGTCCAGAACACTGAGCGGGGCACAGTGCAAGGACAATTGCAAGGTCCCATCTCCAAGGTGCATCTGATGCAGCAATGGCTTGAGACAAAAGGAAGTCCCAAATCGCACATTGACAAGGCAAACTTCAACAATGAGAGAGCCATCTCAAAGTTGGATTATTCAGATTTCCAAATTGTGAAATAATGGCCTGAATTTAAATTTTCCAAGACAAACTGAATGGTTTGAGTTTTCATTGTTCATAGAGACAGCAACTATTCTGTGTTCAATATTAGAACTTGTCAGTATGTTATTTCAGTATCAGGTGTTGGAATGTTACTGTATATCGCCTATGATGGAAGGATCCCAATGGTGTATGATTCTAATCAATAAAAACACATTAGAACCTTACGGATGGGGTACTTTTTTTTCTGTCTTTGGTGAACTCCTTTTGGGCAAAATAAGGAAGTATTTGGTACACATTTGTGGGAAGATTTTGAGGAAAATCAAACAGGTTTGAAAGAAAAAGCAGTTACTTGGGAATCATTTAAGTGGTTTCCCTGAAGTTTTCTTGTGCAAATCACATGTCTAGTAAGAATAAATACCGCAAGTTCACTTTGTTAACTGTTTGGATTATGTGTTTGAACTTTTGGCTCCCTGAAACATCTGCTGCCATTCTTTGGAATAAGAAATTCACATAATGTTACAGGCTGTATTGTGTTCACAAAACTGACCCCTCTCCCCCTGCCACACACACATCCACAACCCCAGGAAATTCAGAGTTAGTATTCCTGACCCCCACTGCCTCGAAATGGCCAGTATTTGGAAATAAGAGTCTTTAAAGGAGTGATTAAATGAGGCTGTTAGGGCAGGCTCTAATTCAATGTGACTAGTGTCCCTAGCAGAGGAAATGTGGATACGCATACCCATAGATAAAGTTGCTATCTACAAGCTAAGACCCCAGAAATCATCCCTGCCAACCACCTGACCCGACTCCCAGCTTCCTGAAGCAGAACATTATAAACTGCCACCATGTGAGTCTTGTCACATTTTGTTACAACTGCTCTAGCAAATTAAGATAAGCAATCATCAGAATTTTGCTGTCTAAGCCCCTAGATGTGGCTTGGTTAGTCATTAAACAAGTCCACACTTAACACTTACTGGTTCTGACACATTCATCATAAATTCCATTTTTGTTATAAGTTTCAATGAAAATCACCAAGAACAGGGGTGGTTAACATCTTCCCCCAAACATGTATTCCGAGTGCTCTTAAAGTTCCGCCCTCCTTCAGTTAGAAAAGGCAGCTGTGGTGCCAATCGGGGAGATACTTAAGACTCAAAAGAGTCTTGGTGTCCTCATCTGAAAATTAACAGAGTTGAGCTTTTTTTTTTTTTTTTTTAATCCTTTCCAGCTCTGAAAGGCCATAACTCTGTGATGAAAGGCTCTGGATTTATTCCAGCCGCTGTTGTCATCCATGGGGGAAAAGAAGGGGTAACAGAAGTAAACCTGGTCCCTACTTTCATACGGCTTACATTCTAACGAGAAGACCTCAGCTAATGTATTTATTGAATTACCTGGCAGTTTGCATAGGCGTCAGAAAACGCAGGCAAAACGTAAAAACAAATAAACAGCAACCAGGACAGCCTTTCACATCATGCCTGAGCGCTTAAGAACTGAGAACTGTAAGTCCCCATGTGAAGAACTCGGAGGGGGGCGGGGGAACCGCAGGTGCCCGGCGGGGTGGGGTGGGGTGCGGAGTGCGCACGCGCGGTGCGGTGTCGCACAGGAAGCGTGCGGCTGGCGCGTCCCCTTAGAAGCTCGCGGGCCGTACGTGCACGAGCCTGGAAGGCTGTGGTGCGCGCGGCCGGTGTCCGAGGCCGTTGGTAACCGAAAGTGTGGGTGAAGCGTGATTCGAGGTGACGTGGGGGAGAGCACGTGACCAACGGATGACTCGGGCGCTCTTTAGTAGCAGAAGCGCCCTGGTGGCCGCCGCGGGCCAGCTGCCCCGAGCCGGCGCTCCATCGTCCCGGGAGGCCGCGGGGGCCGGGGGTCGTGTTGGGGTGCGAGGAGGAGAGGCGCGCCCGGGTTGGGGCAGGTGCCGAGGCCTGGGCCCGGGACCGGCACGTCCCGTTATTCCCTAAAAGGAGCTAGGTGGAATCAGGAAGTCGTAGCGTTCAACAGGATATTCATGAACCGTCGAATCCCCGTTTGCCGCAGGCAGCGACCTTCCTTGTATTAGAAGACGCCAGGAGTGGCCTGCAGGTACAGCTCCTGGTTTTCCCAGGTTTGCAAACCCAGCTTTACCACATTGGAGAGGTCCCACCCCTTGGGAGGAAGACAGGGTGGGCTTGATGGCCCCCCAGAGCCTTCATATTCTAGTCACCTGCAAGAATCCTTAACATTGTCCTCAGGCAGCCCCTCAGCAGGCCAAGGTAGTTCCAGCCTGTGTGTCAAGGCTCAGTCTTACTACAAACCAGTATTCATAAGGACCTTCCAGAAACTTTGTATCAAAGTCATACAGGAACAAGATGTAAGAATCAAGTGGTAAAGAAAGGCTTATTTGACAGTGGGCTGGGCTGCCCTAGCCCTTCCAACCCATCCCTCTTTCCCCTGCGTGACCACATCTAACTAATAATAATAGTAATGATCCCTGAGTGCCTCTGTCTCCTTGGGAAAATTGGATGTTTTTAATTTACTGTTGTTGCTTCACCTTTTCTATTACAGTATCTTAGCACTTCATTATGTTTTTTTTTTTCCCCTCCCCTAAAAGTTCTGGTTATTGTGTAATGTATAAATGTTATGAAAGAACTTGGACTTTTTTTCATGAATAATTTCTAGCTAATGTTTTTAAGCTGAATTTAATTCAGGCATCTGTTTTTGGTGAAGCTGTTAGCATTTTTGAGGACTGTCTTTTATGGGTCAGCTTTAAGTCTTAATTATGATTTCACTTTAGGGCATGTGGGATTTAGAAAGGAGCAGTGAAAATTATGACCTTAGGAACATTTCTGTAGATGTTAAAATCTGTGACACCAGGCGCGAGTTTTGTCATCTGCGTAGAAATCAGAGAGTCTTTTTGTTTGTTTCTCAGTTTGGTTTAATTAAGAGTGTTTCATTTTCCTCAAGTGGTATTTCTTCATGCTGCTTGAAGAAAGAGGGTTTATGCTATGTAAATCTGGAGCTTTGAAGGTATGTGGTGGCTTTTGTTTTCCTCCTGTAGGCAGTTCTTCCTAGCTTGAGGGAACAAGTCTGGCATACCCACCAACCCCTGCCCATGATGATCAAGTGCTTGTCAGTTGAAGTGCAAGCAAGATTGCGTTCTGGCCTGACCATAAGCTCCTTAGGCCAGTGTGTGGAGGAGCTTGCCCTCAACAGCATCGACGCCCAAGCAACATGTGTGGCTGTGAGGGTGAACATGGAAACCTTTCAAGTTCAAGTGATAGACAATGGATTCGGGATGGGGAGTGAAGACGTGGACAAGGCGGGAAATCGCTATTTCACCAGTAAATGCAGCTTGGTGCAGGACTTAGAGAGTCCGCAGTTTTATGGTTTCCGGGGGGAGGCATTGGCAAGCATAGCTGACATGGCCAGTGCCATGGAAATTTCATCTAGGAAAAACAGAACAATGAAAACGTTTGTGAAACTGTTTCAGAATGGAAAAGCCCTCAAAGCTGGTGAAGCTGATCTGAGTAGACCAAGTGCTGGGACGACGGTCACGGTCTATAACCTTTTCTACCAGTTACCTGTGAGGAGGAAGTGCATGGACCCTAGGCTGGAATTTGAGAAAGTTAGACAGAGGATAGAAGCTCTCTCACTCATGCACCCTTCCATCTCTTTCTCTTTAAGAAACGATGTGTCTGGTTCCATGGTGCTTCAGCTCCCTAAAGCCAAAGACATATGTTCCCGATTTTGTCAAATTTATGGATTGGGGAAATCCCAGAAGTTACGAGAAATACATTTTAAGTATAAGGAATTTGAGCTTACTGGCTATATCAGCTCTGAAGCACATTACAATAAGAATATGCAGTTTTTGTTTGTGAACAAAAGATTGGTTTTAAGGACAAAATTGCATAAACTCATGGACTTTTTATTAAGGAAAGAAAGCATCATATGCAAGCCAAAGAATGGCACTGTGGGCAGACAAATGAGTTCAAGTCCTCGGCATCGGTCTACCCCAGAACTCCATGGGGTTTATGTGATCAATGTGCAGTGCCCATTCTGTGAATATGATGTATGCATGGAGCCAGCAAAAACATTGATTGAGTTTCAGAACTGGGATACTCCCTTGGTTTGTATTCAAGAAGGAGTGAAACTGTTTTTAAAGCAAGAAAAACTATTTGTGGAACTATCAGGTGAGGACATTAAGGAATTTAACGAAGACAATGATTTTAATTTATTGGGTGCTACTCTTCAGAAGACCTCTGAAGAGAAGTGTGACCAGGGAAGTTTCCAGGAGGCATGTAATAATATTTTGGATTCCTATGAAATGTTTAATTTGCAGTCAAAGGCTGTGAAAAGAAAAGCTACTCAAGAAAGTGTAAATAGAGAGAATTCTCAGGTTCTAGAAGCTATCAGAAAAAAGACAGATGATTCATTTTTGTGTGCCCATGAATCAGGTGGCCCATTGCCTGATGAAATGGCGACGTCACCGTTACATAAAGCTAGCTCCTGCTCAGATTCAGTGATAGAACGAGAGACAGTTGACGCCCCAGACTGGAGAGAAAATATGGAACATGCAAACTCTGGCCTTGACCCTAACTCTTTAGAAAACCCACATAGAACCACTTCAGAAAATTTTTCTTTTCAAGCACATCGCTTGGGGAACAATGAAGAAGATCTAGAAGTACAAAAAGTGAATAGGACTACTAATGGCATGGCTGCCGACATTCTAAAAACTAATGCCACTCAGAATCAACTGGAGAGACTGGAAGATGTTGCCGTCTCGGAATGCCCGTCTCCTTGTTTTGAAACAGGATTTCTGCGAGTCCATGGTGCTCAGAGAGAAAAAGAGAAAAGAGAAGAAGAACCTAGTGGTTGTGGAGGAAGAAACAAGTTTAGTTATGGACCAGTTAAATTATGTTCTACTGGCTTCATAACTCATGTGGTGCAGAGTGAGGTAACTCCATCCACTGAAGCAGAACATCCACTGAAAAATTATGTTCGACCTGGTCCTGTGAGTGCCCAGGAAACATTTGGGAGTAAGACACGTCATTCAGTTGAGACTGCAGACGTCAAAGATTTAACCAGCATTTTAAGTAAAGAATCTGCTCAGTTGCCCAACAGAAAAGTCTGCAGAACCAGTGTAGGTTATGGGTTCAAGCAAAGACCTATAGCAGCACATAGAAATCTTTCCACTTTTCAGGACAATAGTCTAAAAGCACACACAGGCTGGTTACTCCCAGGTACATCTGCC